AGAAAAAATTACGCCCACGCCCAACAAGACTGCGAAGGAGGCTAATGTTTTGCCAGCAACTTTTCGTGGTAATGTTTTAACTATTCCTGCAGTCCACAAGACACGCATTGTGATACTAAGCATTCCTAAACTTGTACAACAGACAAGTGTTTTCTCTGTCCGCCTGTACGTGAAAGCTACTCTCCAAGCAGAGGTTGTGGGGGAATGATCGGTACCTTTTTATATATGTTTTTTTTTGTCCTGATCCCCACCGTCGGTGGCCGCGGAGCTTCTCTGGCTAATGGATACTGCCTGGCCAATTTGATACTGTCTTTTTTGCCACCGATAGGGATCTGCTCGGAGATTACGTGAAAGCGTCACTGAGTCAAGGCCTTATCACATACTAGGGACAGAGACATTACCGCAATCTGGGACAGAGATCAAACGTCAAGAAGATATGCCATTTAAAGTCTTATCGTGCATGTCAAGGCCGTGTATTTGATGTGAAGATAACGTCTGAGGTACATTTGTATAGAGTTTAGATCAGCAGGGTTAGATCAATTTTGGTTGGAATAGATTTCTTGAATTATTTTAATAATTCAAGGGCTTAAAAGCTCTTTTCAGGGAACTTTTAAAATCCCATCGAGCTGACAAAAGAGCTCAAAATATGCCCCTAACCGCAACATACACAGGGACCGTTTGATCAAAGGTACTACTTTGGTCTGTTATACCGGTCTTTTTTTTTAGCCATGGCAGGGTTGGACAAGTTTTCAATTGTATCTTTCAGCAAGAAAGCACTTTGGTTGTTTGAGATTTGCAATGGATTTTCAGAAAAAAGGGCCTACCTTTGACTGGCAACAATATAATATATGGGGAAAACACCCAGGGGCATAATGCCACATACAAAAATTTACTTGCCCAGGGGAATATGCACATACAAAAATTTACTTGCCCAGCTGGGGAATATGCACTAGTAACAGTACTAGTCTAGTACTTTTACTAATGCCCTGGGCAAGTGGACTTATCCAACCTTGCATGGACACCGTTGCTACATCCTTGCTAGAGACACGTGTTTGAACCCATGTCCTCCCCACCCTTGGCATATGTCACAGTTGTTTCCATTGCTCATCCGAACGTCAATAATCAGATTACTTTGTGTGAATAAACTCCCTGAAGAGTGAAATTGGTGTTCCACTGTTTACAGAACCACTGAGTTCCAAGGTAATGATGTAAAGCCTTGCTTCCTGGCCTGTTGGTGCAACACTGTCCCTGACAAGTCACAGGAATGTGTGTGGAGAAACAAACAAACCTTGACTTTGCAGCTGTCTTTGCTATGTTAGAGCCTAAACCGAAGTTTTTGGATGCCACACCTACGCTCAGAATGTGCACAGTGTAGCCCTTTGGCCTGACTATGGGACAAAACTTACATGTACATGTGTGCAAACACAAAAGGTTGATATATATAAACTACTTCGGTGTATGCCATCAAACCCATTACTTTGTACATGTAACATTAATTCTTTCTAGTAGAACATACATTCATAACTAATTATGATTTATTGGCCTCCTGTATCTGTAAATGTCTGTATCTGTATCAGTATAGCCGGTATAACTGCCCTTTGGCATAACACACCAGCTTTGCAGACACGCGGCACGGTGGCAGCTAGCTAAACAGTACATGTATATCACACCGAACGACTTGTTACACTCAATCTTCGCACATTTAATGCAGGAGTTGTTTAAAGCTTTCTCCTAATTACATACAAACACAGGTAGTAACAAATTCAAATTTTACATAGGGTTTACCCCCTACAAGCCAAAATTTACCTAATGTCCAAAAGTGCTTCATATCACTTTTGATTTTACAAATAATTTTCATATCATATCCACCAGTAGTGAGGAAAATAAAATTGCAGGCATGTAAATAGTTCAGTATGGCCAGCCAAGGCTACCAGTATTATCAGGCCCCAGATAAGTCGGAGGCTGGACAGACCCCCTAATGCCAGTCTGATAGCCTATAATCTTCACACTTTGTCGTGATAAGTACAGCGTACAGTCCCTGGCTTCACTATAGATGTCAGGTCATGCATGTTAATCTACATGCCCGTAGGGGATGCAAATTACCTGGGTCAAATGTCTTAGGTTGCAAGAGTAAAATGTAACTCATCAAGCAGGTCAAACTATATTATAGTCTTTCCTGCATTTATTTCCGTTCAATCAGCTGCAGTGTCTGGTAGGGGTGGGTACCGGTTCAGCCGGACCGGTTTAGACCGGAACAACATTCGGGGACCGAGTCCAAAAAAAAAAAAAAACGTGAAAACTGGACCTGATGTACATTTCAGTACATTGTATACACATCTTTAGATAATCTGGTCATGGCAGGTAAAGAAAATAACTCTGAATCAAACTGGATTAGCCTAAATCCTGTTTCTCTCTTTCTGTAACTGTGCTCAGCTTTAATTAGGCTGACAAAAAAGTTAACAGGCCACAAGTTACCAAGTGATACAGTATATAAACACTACTCTCCAAGCAGAGATTGTGGGGGAATGATCGTCACCTTTTTAAATATGGCCGTTTTTTTTTTTTGTCACTACCCCCACCGGTGGCCGCAGACCTTCTCTGGCTAATGGATACTGCCTGGCCAATTTTTGCCACCAAAAGGGAACTGCTTGGAGATTAGATAAACACACTAATGAGAGTGGACTATACTTGTGTTTCGAGCTCCAAAATATGATATAGTACAACACAGTACAATAATCAGGTCCAGGTTTAGGTCCGGACCTGGACCTGATCATGATCCTCTGAACCTGATCCGAACCTGGACGGGCTGGACCTGAATTTTCTATACAGGTACCCACCCCTAGTGTCTGGTACTAGTGGTTGCCTGTTCAAAGACTATAGTTGATTGTATTACAGCATTGATAGCTACACTTAATGTTTAAAGACTACAGTGTACATGTAACAACAAACACTGATTTCTGAATGTCGTTACCTTAAGCACAAAATGTCAAAAAATTTATATAAATACACAAATTGAACGTAAATTCCAGTGATTTAATACTAATAAACTTTTTTCCAGACATTACTTACAAACTAGCTTGCAGTTGCAGCATTCAACCTTTTACCGTAAATTTTCATATAAACAATACATGTACTACATAAAATGTCATATTTTCCTATTCCACTTGCTCCATCAAAGATGTGGAGAAAATTACTAGTAAATGAATTCCACAAATTCTACCAGAGCTTTAAACCACATAATTATAGTATTTTTACAGTCTAACATTATAGTCTGATTCATGACTACTCAATTTGGTTGACTTCAATCTTTTTTCCAAGGTTGGAAAAAAGACAGTGACATATAAGCATTTTTCAGGTATGAATGTACACCAGAAACATATTAGTAGATACAGATTAAAGTTCATATCATACGTATACCACTGTATATACTGTAAGGCCACACCAATTTAATTTCTTGGTTAACGGATTTTTCTAGGAAAATAATGGAGCGGGTGGGTGAAAAAATTTAAAAAATAAAAACAGGCCTAGGCATCTTATTATGGCCCAAAATGGTACGATAGGAGCCATGAAGTCAACACACCAGGCTGGTTCAAAATTTAAACAATGAATTTTGAACTTTTAATGATATCACTCCATTGAAAGATGGAATAACTGTAACAACTAGGATGAAAAGGACTGTTTTCAACTGTTCAGGGCAAAATATGAGCATTTTGCAGTTGATTCTGAATTTTTATTTTTATTTGCAAATCAGAAAAAAATGAAGCGGGCGAATCCGTTAACCAAGAAATTAAATTGGTGTGGCCTAATTGATTATTTCACCACTACTGCCAGCTCTGTATGACTTCATCAAACTCTTTAGGTTCGATGAAAGGTTTGTCGATGGACATGATCATCATCTCTCCGCAGTACGGGCACTCCGACGCGATCAGGTCGTCCAGCTCGCTCTTCTGCTGCTCGCCCTTTGACATCGCCGTCGTGGCGGCGGTTGCGTCTGTGGCGGCTGCGGCCTGCGGAGTGGCAGGTGCTGAAATCAAACAGAAAATACCGTAAATCTTGTTTATGTACTGTGTTTTTGTTGTGTGTATTTTTATGTGTATCCAGGATTACCTGAAAAGCAGGCCAAAATCGACTGAGCTGTAATTACTGGTTAAAGAAATCGAATTGAATTGAAATGTCTGCTGAGTTTTTATTTTCAAAGTCATCTTTTACTGCAAAAAATTACTGACACCACTATGTGCGATATGTAAATACAAGATAGCCAGCAATATAGTTGCAAGAGTGCTAATTTTCTTTTTTTTTTTTCATCAGTACTCATATCCATGCTTTAACTGATCTATAGAGAAACTATTGTAACTGAGAAAAAAAATTGAATAGAATTTTTTCAAGGCAGTTGTAATACCCCAGTGAAGCATAGACATCCAGGTAATGTGATAAACAAGAAAATCACTGATGAAAAGTAATGAATGTTACTTAAAACATCTGACAGTTTTCAAAACCTATCCAGTTGCTGGAGTTTCTTGCGCGTCAGTTGTATTAAATACCAAAAGAAATTCCTCCAACCTTGAAGTGTTCCCAAAAATGAAACACGACATCGAAACATGCCCGTTCGGAATAACCCCCCCCCCCCACACACACAAGGCTCAAAGGTTCACTTTTTGGTCCACTCTTTATGTAAAGGTCCACTTTTTGGTCCACTTTTTATGTGAAGATCCACTTTTTGGTCCACTTTTTATGTAAAGGTCCAAGATTTTTCTTGAAAAGATGGACTGGAATCGTAGAAACACTGCTCTCTTTGTCAATGAATAAAAATTTATCTCTGATTTTTTCTTGGACATCCTCTCAAAAACGCACAAAATGCCATTTTAGAAGGTTCATTTGCCCCCGGACCCCCCTAGGAACCCCGGACCCCCCCTAGGTCCCCTAAAGGAGTGGGAAGAACCCCCCCATTCAAAAACCTGGCTACGGGCATCATTTCTCACCTGAGTTGATATCTCTCAGCAGGTTGTCTACTTTGTTCCTCCTGGCAGAGGTCATGTTGGGGGTGACCTCTGTGACCAGGCAGTCGGAGTGGAAGACGTGTTGGCATGGAAACAGGTAGAAACCACGCGTGAGGAGGGGGTAGCGGCAGGACGAGCACTTCCCCTGGGCCTTCACCACGCTGTACTTGTTCCTCATCTCCTGGATGTCCGAGCGGATGGACTTGGCGCTCTCCGTGGCGTCCTGCATCTCTTCCTGTGGGGGTGCATGATGGGATACAGTGAACATTGCATTGTGGGAAGTCATGAGTGACTAGAGGTTAAGATTTTCTCAATACCTGGTAGTGCAACGTAGTTTTGCTACCGCTCACATTTGCACCCTAGCAAACTCGTCACCCATTTTTGTGTTGGGTTGGGTTGCTTTGAATGTAGACATTTCATACCTGAATTGTTAATAATGTATTAATAATGTCCCACAGCACATCGGCAGAACGTACTGCACTTGCGTGAAACCCGTAATGTATTGTGCACAGCACTTCGGCAAAACATCTCATATAAGGTCATATTCACGCATGTAAGGTTAACACTCTGTCTGTAGTTTCCAAATGTTATGGTGGAAAAAATGTTGTCTGCAACATTTCACTTTGAGTTTCACACTCAAGTCCTAAGCCAAACATTGCCATCCCACCTTGAGTGCTTCGATGTGTTGGTTATACTCCTGTAGGGACATACAGATGGCGTCCTTGAAGTGGTCAATGGTGACAAAGTCAGGGAAGAAGGGCAGCACATCCTCAATCTTCAACAGATCACACTCATGCAGGAACTCCATGGCTTTCTGTGGGAAAACAGGGCTATGGTAATAATTGCAGTACTACAGTACAGAAAAGCAGATCATTCCAAGGTTTCTTCAGGATAGAGGTACAGGCATGTAGGTACATGTACTGAAAATATGAAATGTTCAGTGGTTTTATCTTCAGTTTTCACAAGTGTCTTAATGTGAAATCAAGATAATGGTAAAAAATGGAATTGAAAGTCAGGTCTACTGTTGGCAGAATCTTCAGCCAGCTGAAGCCTGCCGCCATAAGACAAAGAAAAAGCTATTATTTTACAGTTTAGCATCTCTAAATGTAATTGGTTATGTGGGGATATGCATAATCTCAGACATAAATGCTGTACTGTTGATTATTAACTTGATACATTCAACAACCTGCATGTTCAAACTAAGGTAGGAAAATCATATACCTAGTAGATATGTTGTGGATCTTGTCCTCATAGTTTCATTATTGCTGCATCAGATAATTTTTCCACATTGGTGAATAAACCAGTTTTGTACACTTTACTACTTGACTTGTACATCAAACCCTTACAAGATGGGACAGAAAACCTGTATTGTAACTTAAACATGACTTTCCTCACTCCACCCAGGTGTGAATGGGTACCTAACTTTGGTTGGGGAAAGTCGTATTGAGGTCACCTGGTGGCGCCGCACAGACCCTTGCGACAGTTCCACAAAAGTGTGTGGAGCAAATATGTTATATGTATCATGTGTCTTATTTGATTGTGATTATAAACACTGCTCAATTTAGCACTATAAAAGGCTGCGAATGCAGGGTAATGTTTGACCAATAAAACATTTATTATAATTATTAAATGGTGACCCCATGACCCTGACCTTGATGTCCTTTTCCTCCTCCACCACGTGTCGTGCGATCCGCAGCCACAGCTTCTTCCTCAGCTCCTCATCATCCTCTGGCAGGTCAGCATTCACCTTGGCCAGGTTCACATCAACCTGGAACACAACAATCCAGATGTTCAATCCATATGTTCAAGTATGCAGTTCTACCTGGTGCTGTGTACCGGTTCGCTGGACTGGTTCCAGACTTGTAAAAATGTTTAGGTTCAAGTAAAAAAAAAACAGTTCTGGCTGATTATTACCAAAAAAAAATCATGTCACATACCCTTTTCTTTCCAAACCACCTAAAACCTTCCGTAGATTGCAAAATCTGTGCTGCAAAATGAAGAATGGCATCAGGCATCTTCAAGTGTCAAACTCCATGTTATGTGGCCACAGTTTCACCCAGACTACATTGCAACATTGCAAAGTTGCCAACATGCAATTTTGTATATTCCATAGGTGCGGTGCTATGAGAACAAGTTTGGAACTGAACCTAAATATGGGTTTATGTACACAGCACTTAAGTCTAGTTCTACCATGGTTACGTGAGTATAACGGTTTAGCTTGATCACTTCAATTCAAAGGACAGATCTAGGTCCAAAGGATCAGCTTCAGATCTGAACCTGATTATACTATATCCGTAGTAGTATATCATATTTTGGGGAAATATTATAATATCTCTCAAAGATATATAAGATATATATGACAGGTCAAATTGTATTTGAATTGTATACTGGAATGATATAGTTATTTGAATAGATTTCAGATTTTTTTTTAAACCTTATCAATACAGCCAGATTATCTAATAAAATGTCTAAATAGAATTTTTATTTACAAATGTATAAAGATTTGTTACAGAAAAAAGAGTTGGTTCAGCTTTTTTGGACTTAGTTTTTAGATGTTATTCCGAGTCAGACCAAATCCAGCCGAACCAGTACCCACCCCTAACCATGGTACTGTGGAACTTCAAATATTGGTATTTGCAGTGGTTTTATCACCATGCACTACTAAGATCTATATGTATAAAACATTGTGGACTTGAAAAGGTCATCATAACAACAGCATTAATCTAGAATCAGACACCATACGTGTATGTACTTGCTACCTCATGTGTACACAACTGTGCCAAAACATTTGTACAGCAAACAGCCATCAGTCTAGGTCAGTCAATCAACTTTTCTGTTTGCTAATCACACACTGCTTTTAATTAATTGGTTTCACAGCGTGCAAAATACCTGGTTGCCTAGTTGTCCCGGGCAACCAAATTTTACTTGGGGCAACCTATTTTTGAACCTAGGTAGCCCAGTGTGCTACCTGAATTTTAAGAATGCCCCCCCCCCACGAAATCATGCCCACGCACCACTGTAGCCGGCAGATGCTTTTTAATTTTAGGTATTAATGGCTATTAGTTAAGTAACTATAGGCTGTTAGATATTGTCAAAGGCGTATGTATGCACATGTAACATTACTTAATTTGAGGAAAGTAGTAACTTATAGGTGGAGCAACCTAAAATTCTGATGGGCAACCTACTTTTTGCCATTGGTTGCCCACTGGGCAACCTGATTCAAAAAAGTATTTTGTACACTGGTTTTAATTCAAAACGTGCAAGAGATGAAAAATTCGTTTTCTAAAATGGAGCCTCCAAAACTTGAACATGTTAAAATATAATGTATAGTTATTACATGTTTAATATATAACCAAGGAGGTTAAAAATCTTGGTATTGCTGGAAGAAATTATTAGGTTGCTATGTACATGTATGAGAACTGTAATATGTAAATTGCAATCTGCCATTTACAGTATGGTCTACAATACACTGTTTCAAAGACTATTTTCATACAATAGTGTCAATAGGTATTTGATTCTGTTTCATTTTCAGAACTTCAATTTCTATCTAGAACTTCAGTTTCTATCTAGCTTGATACTCCCAATGTAGTTCTCAAGTGTGGGGTCATGTGGCATAAATGGTAGCGTGTTCTGCTCAGGACCAAGAGGTTGCGGGTTTGAATCCTACCATGTTACCAACCTTGTTCCCTTGGGAAAGGCACTTTACACGACTTTCCTCACTTCACTCAGGTGAAAATGAGTAGTACCTAGCTTTGATTAGGGATGTCCCTCAGATAGGACGTTAAATGGAAGCCCCGTGTTTGGGAAGAGCCACACCCCGCATGTCAAAGAACCCAACGCACTTAGTGTTAAAGAACCCAACGCACTTATCAAAAAGTGTAGGGGACCTTCCCAGAGTGAGTGGTTCAAACCTTGCAGTCCAGTCTTACGCAGCTTGCACTTACAAATGTACATGTATAAAACTGGTGTGTTACATTTAAAGGCAGTTTACCGGTTATGCGAAACAAACAAAACAAAAAAACAATTCTTTATTTCAGCTAGCAGTCCTCAACAAACCTTATTTAGAACAAACTTTCCACAGGCCACAGCAAGTAAATTTTATGGATGACATCCTCCACAGACTCCAAATCTAATGCGAGTGGGAAAAAAAAAAACAAGACGGGACGAAAAAAACAAGGTTCCTGCATTTTAAAATTTTGACTCAATCATGGTACAAATGGTTTTGATTCAGTGGGAACATCGCATATACATAGCCAGCATCACATAACACTGCATCAAAGTAAGAAACAAAACATTAAATCAGAGTCTTTTCATGTCTTCTCTCTTCATATGTATCTGCCATCCTCCTTCCGGCATGGCAGCAGACATCTTTGCCCATTTTCGGCATGTTGACCACTGTCAGAAGGCAACAAAATTTCTTGTTTTTTTTTCCAAAATCAGGCGAAAATTAATGCGCACGTGGTGATGTCATCCATAAAAATTACTTGTTGTGGCCAAACTCAATCAGTGACAGTGACATGAATCATGAGCCCTTTGTTCTGACAGCCGCAATGTTTACATCACCACACAAACGTGGACATGCATATCTGCTGCACCGGTCTTTTGTCCAAGCGGAAGTTTTGACATGCAGTTGCTCCTAATGGAACATGAACATATTTTCCCATGCTGGACCTCAAAGACGCAGTAACTCTACACCATAATGTCTAACATCAACAAATTTAGAGAACAAGCCGCTAGGGGACCCAAACTCATGTCACTTTTTCCCTATCTCAAGAGCTATCTGCCATCCAACATTCATGACCCTAGCATGTCCAGATCACGAGATATCAAAACCGGAAGTTCTGCTGCAGTAGACAGTACCTAGGAAAACTGCCAGAGGGCCCAAAATCTAAACAGTTCTAGGTCTCATGAAGACCTACACACCTACCAAGTTTCATTCCAATCCATCCACTGCTTCTTGAGTTATCTTGCTCAAACACACACAAACAATATTGAAACATAACCTTCTTGGCAAAATTAAAGGTACTACTGCTGAATCAAAAAGCACTTAACTACATTTCTAGAAAACATAAACAGACAGTACTGAAAGTTATTCACTCTAAGTGAAGGTTTGTTCCACACTTCAGCAGCAAGTACACAAGTTATTACAACTACGCACACATGAATACAAAGGGGCCATACATGTAGTTGTAACATGGGAGTTGGTCTTCTCTGTCACCAAACACTACTTAGCTAATGTCTGTTGTGACAAGGTAGGACACAACAGGATTCCTGGTGTGGGGAATAGCTGGCATTCTTGACTTCACAAGGAGTTGTGGTCTAGAGGACTCCAGTTACCTTGTCACAGTGTCAGACATGCATGCAAAATAAACACAGCATAGCACACAAACTCCTCAGACTTCCTTCCTTAAAACCCAGAAAACATTCCTGACTTCACCAACAAAACAATCCTTCCTTAGTTGATTCCCCCAAAATATAAATCAGTTTTGAATTTGTCAACAGTAAAAGTCAGTTCACAAAACTTTTTTCACATAACCAGTAAACTGTCTTCAAGGGTTTGTACAGTAAGTATAAGCAGTGGAAGACCCGGCTGAAATATTTGACTCGCTCACACAGGGATGGAACCCTATTCTTTTTGCTAAGAGTAATATTTTTTCCAATGTGCTTTGGGTGCCACTAAGTTACTTTCTGCAGACACATGTTTGATGACTGGTAAACTGTCTCCAAGGCATAACACAACAGTTTTGTACAGTAAGTACAAGCCAGAACAGACTGATAGATTTGACCCACTCATACAGAGATGGACCGCTACTCTTTTTTCACAAATGTGATTGTTTTATTCTGTGCTACTACATGTAAGTCACTTTCTGTAGACAGGTATCTGACAGTTGAAAATGGTCCCTAGAATGCACACTGAGTAAAAGACATTGTCCCACCTGTAGTGCCAGTTCGACAGCCTCCTCGTACAGACCCATGGTACGGTAGATGTGCACACACGCCTCCTTGTGATGGTGCTCGGCACACAGGCGCAGGGCGTACTTCAGGTCATAGGGCACGCTGTCAGGGTTCTGGCCCTGGAGCAAAGAAATAAATCAGTTTGCGTCATTCCGACTTCTTACAGTAAATAGGACAGTGCCCATCGCCATTTATCTAGCCCTTGGGTCACACAGCTGTGCAAGCATATATATACATGTATATATATATATATAGATAGATAGATAGATAGTAGATGATACAGGGGACTGCAGTCTACTGGTAAATTTCATACTCTTTCCCATAATAACTGCCAACTTACAAGGCAAAGAAGACATTTGTATGTACATTTTTCAAAGTCTTTGGAATTACCTTGGTCAGGGAATCAAGTAAATCTTTCTAGTTCTGCTTGGCATATATAATAATGTTTGTACTTTTGCCTTTGTTTGTACATTACCTGTATCCTGAGGTATTTGATGAGTTGTTCAGGCTGTAGTTTGGCGTACAGAGACAGTAGGTAGTTGTGGATGGCCGTGTCCTGCACACTCAGGTCATGTACACAGAACTCCAGGTACCGGATAGCTTCACTACTCGCCCTGCAGTCGCAACAATGACAATCAGAGATGCCAAACTTCACCCCTTTACCCATACTGCTTTGCGAGCATGCCAGTCACGCAAACAAATATAAACATAGCAGCACTAAACATGTTGTGGCAACTCTTGCATTGTTTGAATGGGAGTTTCAGAAACAAACACACACAAACACACATACACACACACAGTTACAAAATTTGTCTTCAATATCAGAAAAGTCTGATGAAGAAAATTTATGCAACACCATCCTGACCTCACTCAAAATCAAAAGCTATAATAATATCTTTATCAAAATGAAACCATAATCTTGTTTTCATAAGGATACAAGCTTGACAAGTATATCTGCTTGTACATGTAGTTCAGAAGAGAATAGCACGTACTTGGAATCATGTGTGTGGTCGTAGTTGACCAGAGCAGGAATGAGCCGTTGTGGGTCCAGTTTCCTCCCCTTGGCTATCCAGGAGTCCACTGTCTGTTTGGGGATGTACTGCATCAGGACTGGGGAGAACCTGGCATGGGGATATCACAAGGAAACAATGACATGAAAAATGTATTTGCTAATCAAATCTAAACACTTTTTGGATAGTTTCTGCACTGCAGTTTCTACATGTTCTGCCAGAGGGAGTTAATTCTGCTGTCTCTGATTGCCTAAGCTTGTTACTATGAAGACAATTTGGTCCACCTTTTCTTCCAAGTGTGTAACTTATAACTGCTTAATTAAAAACAGGATAAATTATAAATATCCTCCCTGTATGTGGTGACTTGAAACAGCCTACATTATCTAGAAACAAACACCACTGGAACAGGGGTCTAGCCAGTTCAAAATATTTTTCCGTCAGCCCAGGTTCATGATTGGATATGGGGATGGGTTAATCCACCCATGGGAAATTTTCAAGCCCTCAAAAACACAATTTTCTGCATTTTGAGAGGCAGTGGTTGTCTGTGGTCCTTCAGATGTTTTCATATTTTTACCCAAGGTTTTTGTTGATTTTGTTTGTCAACTTTGACGGATCTGTTTTAAAATTTTTCCGTCAGGTGCCGCAAAGTTCTGGTAATTGACGGACGCTAGAGCCTTGCACTGGAAAAAAACTAACCAACCAATGCAGAGCAAGGCAATCAACACCTCAACATTGCAAACATATATTCAGATTTCTGTACATACACCCCCCACCACATTGCTTCACCATGAACTTGAAATACCACAAATGGATTGACAAGAACAAGGATTCTTTCAGCCAGACTGACTTGTAGTACAGCTCGGTGTCGCCCTGCTTGTTGGTGAGGACGTCCAGTGCGGCCTTGTAGTCGTCGTGCTGGATGTGGTGACTGATGACGCGCTCGTAGTCGTGCATCAGCATGGCGAAGAACACCAGGTCCTCGATGTTCCCGTGGCTGGCGATCAGGTCGTACGCCGTGTTCTTGTTGAAGCTCAGGCAGTCCTTCACTCTGGGAAGGGAAGATGGGTAGAGATATATTTGGAGTAAACTTGTCTCCACATCATATACATAGAGTATAGAGTCAACTTACAAGTAGTGCTGTGTACCAACTGTAAACCCACATTTATATTAGGTTCAGGTCCGGATTCAAGTCAAGAGGTTTACATTCAGTTCTGGACTCTGGAATCGGTTCTTGACTTTCTAGGTTCCTTTGGACTTGAACCTAAACATTTTTACAAGTCCGGAACTGGTCCAGCGAACCAGTACACAGCACTATGTACGAGTGACCACCTTTAAGCTAGTGTGTTACGCTGAGGGGCATTTATACTGGCTATACAGATACAGGTACATAGGGACCACCTGGGCAATGTGACCAGATTTTGGTGGTCCCTTGGATAATTATTCCCATTAACACAAATTAAGAAGCTGTCTATAGTGACTAGAACTGTTCGTAAAGCTTAACTTTAGCGTTTAGTGTAAAATAGAGGCTGCCCTCCCAAATTAGGCAAAATTTGTCACAAGGTAGACCTAACTAACCCTAAATCAGCCTTCTCAAAACAAGCCGGCTACCGGCGAAAATCGCCGCCTACTCAAATTTTTGCGCCGGCTACTTTCGTCAAAATTTTCAAATTTTTGCGCCGGCTACTTTCGTCTAAATTTTCAGAAAAACAAGTAAGCTCCGTTACATTTTCTCACAAACTTCACCGGCTCATTTCTTCTGACGAACTTCAGACAAATTTCTGCTAGCTTTCTGGATCTGAAAACTGCTTCTTTCTTAGCCTCCTGTGCAGATTTCTAGAGCACGAGTCAGCATTTGCTTCTACGAGCGGCCCGCGGCCGGCCAGAGCGGCCGAAACTTTACGGGGGGAGGGTCTTGTTCGAGGCTCGAGTTGTATCCGCGGAGCTGTATCGCTCGAGCTAGGCGGAACTTGCTTCGTAAACTCGTTGCTCACGAAAATTTATCAAGCCGCTACCTTCCCAACTTCTCCCGGCACTAGTAACATTCCTGCTACAAATAACTAGTACAAATCACGTCAAAAAATATCAAGACATGTATAGAAGCGTGTTCATATCTTTCATACACAGACAAATTTTCAAAAACAAATCGCCATCAGCGAGATTTCACAGCTGTTTCATTCATCAAAAGTTCTTGTCGATCGTAAAATGATCACTCATCTGTTGTCTCCACTAGTGTGGCATTTGTAGCTTAATCACGGCTAGCCAAAAATCAGCGTCAAAACCCCGGAATAAAAACACGCACACTCCGCTTCGCTGTACAAAAACAGGAGCTTTCAGGCGCCATCTTGTCATGAATATTAAGTAGCAGCGTGCGATCGACGCTGTGATTGGTTCACCTCACATGACCTGCATTCTGATTGGATAAGCGATGTGGCGAGCAGCCGGCAGCGCGGGAAGATTTTTCTTCGCCGGCAGGCTCTCGCCGGTGAAGAAGAGACACATTTACGCTGCTTTCTACGTTTTTTCTACGACTACTAAGCAACATCCTATTAAAGAAATACATAATTAAAAGAATTTTCGGGAAGATGTATATTTCTCTACGCCGATTTTTGGCCATTTTCTCGTAATTTTCTTGTTCAAGGAACCCGGAAGTCAGTGTACCGGGACGCGGGGTGAATTTCCATAGGGCATTTATGGATCGCACCCCGCTAGAATTAAACCGTCAAAACAGAAACAAAACTTCCAAAAAGCGAAACTGTGACATTTTTTCACATCCCAATGATTATGTTTTCGATCAAATTGACATTTAAATATGCTTTCTTTATTTTTCTGCATTTTGTGGCCGGGCGCAAGGACCGCGCGTAATACGATCGGAGTGGCAAACAATTTTAGTACAGCCTTTTTCCGGAATATTTGTGCACGAACAGTAAATTTTGGAGCCACAAGATTGCCATAAAAGCTGCTCAGAATGTACCAAAAACGATGTTTAGGGGTCTAATTTTTACGATTTCCTCCGGGGGAGGCCCCCCGGACCCCCCCAACGGAGGGGGGGCCACCCCCCTCCCGTACCCTCCCCCTGCGAGCCGCTGCGCGGCTCGCTTCGAGCCACTTCGTGGCTCGCCTGCTACTTTTTCTTATCAGCCACCTACTCTAAATTTTTTTGAGAAGGCTGTAAATCCTCATTTATTACAAAACAGTTATGTTAACGTTCATACAAGTGTGTAAATAAATATTTCAGCTTACAAATTGCACAATTACAAATCGTTCTTTGTCCAGATTGGACATAAAAAAGTCACTTCTACCTTTGGTGAGCTAGAAACTTCCTGAACTCGTCCCTCAGTGTGTAGTATTTGCCGTCGTTCTGTAGCCCCTGTTCCTTGAGTGCGCCCAGCCTGTTCAGGTACAGCTCTATCAGCCAGGTCACCAGCATGGTCGTCTGGGTCTTGTCCGCAGGCTTCAGGCCATTCAGCTTCTTCCACAGGAACGTCTGTAAGGCTTTCTGCTGGTCCATCTGGGGTATAACAAACACAACATACATGTATATATGTTTTGGGAATATGTGTATGTAAACTTAACTACTAGTATCAAAAAGTACACTTATATCTATTAAACTGTACAAGTCAAGTCAAGTCAAAGTTTATCGCACAACGATTGTCACGGGTACAATGTATGGCAAATGACAAGATTACTAGTTGGTATGTGTCTAACATAATGCTATATAATATGGTCCACGGACACTGTATCTGACAGAGTGTTATAAAGAACTACTGGCTAAAAAATATTTCGACTCTATGTGTACGTTCTACATTACACTAAACTATACACATGAAGGGTACAGTGATCAGTTGTACCTAATTAAACAAAACGTGTACATGTACCTTAAGGAATGACACAACAGTTTTCTATGTTAGACTAAACAAAAACAAAAAATTGTATGTAATAGCTATGTGAGAATGAACTGATAGCGTTCATCAACTCAAATCTGGATGGAACCTTTCTCTGAAGGTGTCTTATCGATAAGTGTGGTGGGTTCTTTAACATGCTCAACATGTAGCTTTCCTCAAACCTGGGCATCCCAGCTGAGAGGATGTCTAGAAATTAAACTATGTATTCATTTTCACATTAAGTTGAGTGAGGGATTTGAACTCATAACCTTATAATTATCAAATTAATAGTCTGAGTTAACAATTATAAAAACGAGGTCACCATACATGTATGCCACATATAAAAACTTACAAACAGATGCAGTATGTAGATTGTGAATTTCTGTTATTTGTAGTACAAAGTTCCTCAGTCTGCACTTTCATGTTCTAATCATGCACTTGACATTGACAAGCTTCCTTACCTGGATGAACTTGAGCGCCACCTCCTCGAAGGAGTTCTGTGTCTGTGCATACAGCATGGCGCTCTTGTCGTACTGCTTCTCCTGGAAGAAGTGTTCCGCGTGTTTGGTCAGCACCTTGTCCCTGTTGGCCGGATTGTCCTTGCAGTACGCCAGGGCCAGATCGTACTCTCCACGGTCCAAGTACATCTGCCAAACATCGCGGGACTCCCGTACGACTTTGTACTTGAACACGGCCTGGTCCGAGAAGGACCAGATGGAACCCTTGATGGGATCTTGGCTCATGCCGAGAAGTTTACCGAACGTTCCCGTACGGTGGAAGTCTTCGAAGATGAGCTGTTCGTTCAGGTGACAGATGGCTTTCACGCAGTCCGGGAACACCAGCAAGATGTGGAACTCCGTCAGAACGATGGAGAGAGGATTCTGGGAGGTGTTGTTGTCCGACGGGTACGCGATGAGTTTGCTGTCCGAGGTTACGTCCTGGTTCTGTTGCGGACTGAGGTCGAAGTTGCCGAAGTAAACCCCCGGGCCGGTCATCCAGGCGAACTGTTCGGGCGCAGACTTGATGCCCTTAGGGTGGTAATACTGGAGATCGCTGTATCCAAAGTTCCCCGGCAGCTCTAAGAACCGCGCAGGGCTGTCCTCGTAATTCGCAAACACGGGCTGGAAAATGGGCGGGTCGCTGGTGACGGGAATGGTTCCGATGAACTGATAGAGGCGTCCGGGAGTGGTCGCCATGATGAAGTACTTCTGTTCCGACTGGGAGTTGTGCGGCATGCGGTCGAAGTGGAGACTGTTCACGGGCGACGGGTTTTCCTTTCCCAGACTGAACACCTGCTTGAAGTACTTATCCGCCGCGCCCGCGAAGAACTTGCTCTCGTCCTCCGAAACGACCTCCCCCTCGAATATCAGCCCGCGGGACGTGCCGAACAGGATGGGACCCGTGGACATGTCGCTGGTGTTGTAGTTGTTCCACCCCACGCTCTCGATCACGTAGCCCTTCAGCTTGACCAGCGGTTTCGGCTTCTTGGAGTTCCGCGAGAGATATAGAGTCTCCTGATTGGACATGGAGATGAGGAGGTGGCGTCCGAGTGGGTCCAGGTGAAGCTTGGTCGGCCGGTTGTCTAGCGAGTGGCTGATCTCCACCTCGTCCGTGTTCTCCTTATTCTCAAGGTCGATCCGAAGGAGAAGGTTACTGGACATGGCCAGCACCAGCATGTTGTTACTGACCTTGAGATGCGTGATGGGGTCGCGCGGTTTAAACTGGATCTTCCGCTTGTTGAAGATGGGGACTTCGTCCTCGAGACGGGCGCTGATGAAACCCGTGGATATCGGCTCCGGGATGGAATCCTTGGACTGACGTTGCGTCCGACCGCTCCCGCGGTACTGGTGAGACTCGTACTGGTCCATCAAGTTGGCCATATTTGTAAGATTTTTTTAAACCTCTTGTCTGGTATTACACTACATTCAGTTGAAGCTTAGTTAAATTTTAAAACCTTCAAATTCTCTTGTTATTCTCTATCTGAGAAGCCACCTGGAAAAAAACAGTTTCCATTGTAAGATGTTGTCATAATATTATCATAACTTACACCATACTGTCATAATTCCATTATGAGCATACATATTTTTGTCATGCAATAATTCTCTTCATGAAAAAATACGAGAAAGAACACTAGTACTGTACTTGAAAAATTCAGCAATAGGTATCAAACTGCTTTCTAAATCAAGGAGAAACAGCCTGCGTTTGGTGAGTTTCAAAGCGTTGCCTCATGCTAGAATTACACCATAAAAGTGTCACTCCGCGTACAGCAACTTTAGTTGCGTAAAAAAATCGCTAATTTTACGTTAAAACCTACCTTTTACATGGAAAACACACAAAAATGGAGGGTTTCCTCCCACCCTCATGTGACCCAGGTCAGTTCAAAGGTCGCGACCTCTTGTGGAATCCTGGGTAAGAAGGTCAAAGTTGAAATCCAAGATGGAGGACACGCGTGCGAAAATTTGAATCCGTTTTTTCTTTCGCTTTTCTTCTAAAATTTCTGTCTTTCCAGAAAGCGTAGATACTTGCGATAAGTTGTCCGTGAACGTCGCTAAGATGTTGAAGTCGAAGACGTTTGTGAAGAAGACGAGGAAGGGAGGGGTGATGAAGATAGTACGGGAGCACTACCTCCGGGACGACATCTGGTGCGGCTCGGCGGCGTGTGCGTGCTGCCCCCAGGACAGGCCCGTACTGGAGGCCGGGCCGGAGACAGACAGCTCGCTGTGTGGATTTCCGCATTACCTCATACCGGACACGAACGTCGTCTTACATCAGGTATGTTTTGAGATATTACTTTCCCTTTTTGTATATTATGATTGAGCACATATCAACAAAATTATGATTTTCATGCCATTCCCCATTCACCAATTTCACACTTACCATAATGCCTAGTAAGATCACGGATATGACATATGACCAACCCCTCCCCCTTCCTGGATGTAATTCCAAGGAGGTTAAATACTTGTATTTAACCGCCTTGATATTTCCAACAAGTTTTATCGACAAACTGGTCAACTGTATTGTTTTGAATTATTTATCTAGTATAAAGCACATGCCATAATTGCATTTTTGTTGGAATTAGAGAAAATCATGTACCTTCCATCGTTCTACCTTCTACTGAAGACTCTCCTACTCACAAGGTCGCATTACGTATATCCCCTTCTTACGTCATATCCCATCCATATCCATGATCTTTAGTATAGGCATTATGGGAAGGTGAATAAGATAGTTGGGCAGTAATGATGCATTGTGGGAAATATGTTAAAGATGTAGGCCCCTAAGATGTAAACAAACATATAAAGATTTTAACATTTACATGATGATGATGATTTACTGCCATTTCTTTGCACATTTTCATCATTTTGTTTTCATACTTGATGAAGCGTTTGAACTATCGTTAGCCCCAAACAAATGCCTTTGTTTGTTTGTTTGTTTGTTTCGCATAACCGGACAGTAAACCGCCATAAAGGGTAACACTCCAGTTTTTGTACATGTAAATACTAGCTGCGTAAGACCGTACTGTAAGGATTGAACCACTCACACCGGGAAGGACCCCTACTCTTTTCGATAAGTGCGGTGGGTTCTTTAACATGTGTAACAGTGGGGGGTTTATAGGTGCTACCAACTGACCCGGCCGATGGGTCTAGACCTTTTCGGCTGAGCGGTTAGCTCTGGTGCCCGGGAGGTCGTGGGTTGGAACCCCGGCCCGGGACCAGAAGGGTTTTTACTGGCTCCTCCTGTTTCTTACACGTGTGGGGTGTGGCTCTCCCAAACACGGGACCTCCATTTAACGTCCTATCCGAGGGACGTCCCTAACCGAAGCTAGGTACTCATTTACATCAGAGTGAAGTGAGGAAAGTTGTGTAAAGTGCCTTTCCCAAGGGCACAAGATCGGTGACATCGGGCAGGATTCAAACGAGGGACCGTTTGGGTCTGAGCCAAACAGTCTACTGTTATGCCACATGACCCCACAATGTGCAAACGATGAACTTAACAGTACATGTATTTGTTTTTTTGTTTATTTATCCGCATATAATCAGAGAGAACTGAAGAACAATAAAATGAACATATTACAGTAAAATAGGATATGCAGGGGAAAGATAAGAAGCCATAATGGCTTATCTTCCCCCGACTAAATTAATAATTAACAACGGTAATAATGGTAACAAATTAAATGGTAATAAATAACAATAAGTAATTGAAAATTTGAGCAATATGATAACGGTAACAAATCAAATAGTAACAATAAATAACAAAAGTAATTGGTAAATAACGTTAATTAGACATGATATGTACATAAGCAATATTTGCTTCTCCATTTCCCAGATGGACGTGCTGGCTGACTCTGCCATCAGGAATGTGATCATCCTGCAGACTGTCCAACAGGAGGTCCGACACAGGAGCGGGACAACCTACCAACGTCTGAGGGACCAGTCCAACAACACTGACAAAAACTTCTACGTCTTCACTAATGAACATCACAGGTAAGGCCACACCAATTTAATTTCTTGGTTAACGGATTCACCCGCTTCATTTTTTTCTGATTTGCAAATAAAAATAAAAATTCAGAATCAACTGCAAAATGCTCATATTTTGCCCTGAACAGTTGAAAACGGTCCTTTTCATCCTAGTTGTTACAGTTATTCCATCTTTCAATGCAATGGTATCATTAAAAGTTCAAAATTCATTGTTTAAATTTTGAACCAGCCTGGTGTGTTGACTTCATGGCTCCTATCGTACCATTTTGGGCTATAATAGGATGCCTAGGCCTGTTTTTATTTTATTTTTATTTTTGCCCGCTCGCTCCATTATTTTTCTAGAAAAATCCGTTAACCAAGACATTTAATTGGTGTGGCCTAATGCCCTTTCTTATGTTGTCGACCAGAGAAACTTACACAGAACGTGAACAAGGGGAGTCGTCCAATGACTACAATGACCGCGTGATCCGGGTAGCGACCAGGTGGTACAACAAACACCTGCAGGAGAACAGGAAGGTCGTTGACGCCCCTCAGATCAAGGTCGTACTGCTGACCAATGACAGGGAAAACAGGGAGAAGGCACAGAAGGAAGGACTGTTGGCGTATACTGGTATGCCTTAAAGTCTTTTCCTTTTTATGTTTACCAAAGGAAAACATTGTTTTTGCTACATTTCCTCTTCTTCTCCAAACCAAAAAGGTCAATGACCTGAACCAGACTGTCTGTCACCATGGTAACTGGTGTTGGGTTGGTTACATCATGTTGCAATTTCATAGCAGGAGGGATTTAGACTCCTGTCACCATAATATGTTTGTGTTTGAGTAAGAATTAACAGAGCAGACCATATGCAAATGTATTATGTATGTGCTTTTCAAATGTTACCTTTCTAGTTACTTTTATACTTTTCTTTTATATCAATTATTTATGTATATAAATACAAAATAATCATATTGTAGGATTATGACTTGAAAGTGATGAAAGATAGGCAATCTAAAAGGTTTCACTTTCAGGTAAAGTTGTAATTTCATGGTTTGCTTTTTTTTTTCAGTACACCAATACGTGAAAGGTCTGAGAGGGAACCCAGAACTGGTAGACAGACTGGCACAAGTGGACATGGGGGATAGTGTAAGATTATTCAGTTCTCACAGTACACAGTTGATCTGTTTGCCTACATTTCAAATTGTATACTGCAACCTTATTTACTTTCAGAGAGATTTGGTTTCATGGTATGAGGTAACAGTAACTTAGCACAAAACTATGGTACATGTGTCATGATTTTGTTGTTTTGAAGAGACACCATGATACTTGCTCTGTCGTTTGCGCCAATTCAACCCGCCCGTTGAAGATCTTCTTACTACATATACTTGTTTCGTCCGTCCTGTGTTGGAATATGCCGCGCCTCTATGGCACCCTGGTTTGACCAAAGCACAGAGAAGGAAGATTGAAAACATACAAAGAAGAGCCACCAGAATCATCCTTGCTAAGGAGTTCACGAACTACAAGTCAGCACTGGAGACGCTACAGCTACAGACTTTAGAAGATCGCAGAATAGCCCTGTGCAGACGGTTTGCCAACAATATACAAGCTTCTACCCTCTACCGACACTGGCTGCCACAAACCAGGGGTAGTGTCAGTGGGAGGATGACTAGACAACATGCAAAACTTGACCAATTGCCAGCGCGCACAGAGCGGTACAACAGAAGTACATTACCGTACCTTGTTCACATTTTAAATCATGAATAGTCTGTGTAAATGTATGATTTTAATATGATTTAATGACTGTTTTTACAACACGGAATGATGATCAGGATTTTATTTCACTGTCTAAAGCTTTTATTCACGCAATTCAGCCTTGTGGCTGCCTAGTGATGGAGCTGTATTGTGATTTGTGTTTGTGTTTGAAATAAACCAATGATACATACCATGATAAAACAATATATATATATAGAAATGAGAGGGATTCCCTCAATACTGTACTTAAATATATAATAGATACGTTCCCCAGCTTAAGACTTTTAGATGAAACAGAAAATTCTTATTCCTTATGAAACTTGACAAACCATGTATCATTAGCTCCATATGTTCGTACATCTACAACTGCCTCAACAAGAAGTTGAACCTGTGAATAACATTAGTATGTACAAATGTATAGTTTAAGTGTTTTTGCTGTTTTCTTTTTCCCTGTCTATTCATGACCTGTACTTAACTTGTAAGAGCATTAACGTACAATAAAGGTATTTCACTCAATATTTCAAGATTTGCAGTAACTGCCAGCTGTAGATTTACTTTCAGTTGTCACTTTAAGATGTCTGCATTTCAATAAAGTTAATGACAGAAATGTTGTTTTTAAACACTTCATTGCAGACTGATAGTGATATCAAGAATGAGGCTACAGGACGAGTCTTGTTCCCAGAGCACCTTCCGCTCTCTCAGCTCCAGACCGGGATCAAGAATGGCAAGTATCTCCAGGGGAACTTCATGGCCAGCAGAGAGAACTACCTGGAAGCTAACGTACTGGTACATGGGGACGATTCCAAATCTGTGAGTAGTTGTTCTTGTGTAGAAATTTCATTTGTTATTTACATGTACATGCACATTTAGTTTCCACTACACACACACACACACACACACACACACACACACACACACACACACACACACATAGGCACACACACACTTACACACACACACACACACATGCACACACACATGCACAATCTTTGCCCATTTAATTGCAGGAGTTGTTTAAAGCTTTGTAGTGATGATGCCCCAACTGTGCTTGGTGGCAACGAGTTCCACTCTACGTTCTTGGAAAGTACAAGTTTTTGAACACCTCAATTCTTGGTTGTTAACGCTGATATTTGAAGGCATGACTGTTTCTTGTTCTTTTCTGGGCTGGTATTATATAGATACTTAGTGGTTGGTACGTCCACCACTTTATTAGTCATTTTGTACATCATGCATAGTCTGGACATTTTTCTTCTGTCTTCCAGCGACCCCCACTGTAGGTTTCTTTTTATTTCTGTTACACAAGTTGTTTGTACAGAATCTTGCGGCTTGGTTCTGTACCCTCTCCAGGCAGTTTATTTTTGTCTTTCTTTGCATGCATGCACAAATACAGACACACTCACTCAAACTCATACACACACACACATACTCACTCACACACTAACTCACTCACTCTCACATACTCACTCACTCTCACAATCACTCACAATCACTCACTCTCACACACTCACTCTCACACACTCACACACAGGGGCCATAGGAAAGATATGTCTGCAAGTTCCTTTGGCCATAGAAGTTTTCTTGATATTAATGAATTTTACTTTTCTTCCCTCAGGTCTTCATCCAGGGCCACGCCCATCTGAACCGTGCGGTGAACGAGGATGTGGTTGCCGTGGAGATGCTGCCTGAGGACCAATGGAAATGTCCGTCCTCCATGGTGCTGCAGGACAAGGATGGGGATGAGGAGGTTAGAGCAGCAGCCATCAAATGTGCCTTTTTTCATAGTTTATTGGTCAAACATTACCAGTGCAATCTCAGCCTTTTATAGCGATGAATTGATGCAGGGTCTACAATCACTGTCACAAGGGTCTGTGTGGCTGCCATTCTGCGCCACCAGGTGACCTCAATACGACTTTCCCCAACCAAAGTTAGATACCAATTCACACCTGGGTGGAGTGAGGAAAGTCCTGTAAAGTGCCTTTCCCAAGGGCACAACGTCTCGTGAGCTAGTTGCCATCAATAGCAAAAGTTTGGGAGTTTAGCTGGAAACAATGGGAGCTAGTTGCCATCAATAGCAAAAGTTTGGGAGTTTAGCTGGAAACTATGGGAGTTTAGCTGGAAAATGGGAGTTTAGTACCTGGAAACTTTGGAAGTTTAGCTTGAAAATTTGGGAGTTTAGCTAGTAATTTGGGAGTTAAGGTGAAAACTTTGATAGTTTGGCTGGAAACTTTGGGAGTTTAGCTGGAAATTTTGTTACTTTAACTTGAAACTTTGAGAGTTTAGCTGGAAATTTTGTTAGTTTAACTGGAAACTTTGGGAGTTTAGCTGGAAACTTTGGGAATTTAACTGAAAAACTTTGGGACTTTAACTGCAAACTTTGGGATTTTAGCTGGAAATTTCTGAGAGTTTAGCTGGAAACTTTGGGAGTTTAACTGGAAACTTTGGGAGTTAAGTTTGAAACTTCAGGAGTTTAGGTGGAAAGTATGACTTAACCAGGAAAAAATGATATCTCTCTAAATTGTACTTTTCAAAATGAGATGGAGGAACGAATGTTTGCAACATTTCATCAGCATAATTTTCTCTTCCTTCCAGACATCTGAGCCAGATTTGGGCTCCCCAAAGAGCAGGAGCAATGCTATCCCATCAGGCCGTGTGGTGGGCATCATCAAAAGAAACTGGCGGCCATATTGTGGTGTGCTGCAGCCTTCTGGGATTAAAGAGGTACATGGAAATCCATCAACATTTTGGCATTCAGCGTGCAAAATACCTGGTTGCCCTGTTGCCCCGGGCAACCAAATTTTACTTGGGGCAACCTATTTTTGAACCTAGGTAGCCCAGTGTGCTACCTGAATTTTAAGAATGCCCCCCCCACCACACACACATACAAAATCATGCCCACTTGGCTTGCACCACTGTATCCGGCAGATGCTTTTTAATTTTAGGTATTAATGGCTATTACTAGTATCAATTAACTAAAGGCTGTTAGAAATATTGTCAACGGCTTTATTACTTAATTTGAGGAAACGTAACATTACTAGTACTTAATTTGAGGAAAGTAGTAACTTATACATGCAGGTGGGGCAACCTAAAATTCTGATGGGCAACCTAATTTTTGCCTTAGGTTGCCGTATTTCATCCATAAATTCAAGTCAGTTTTACCTTATCTAGAATGATAACATACTTATACTTAATTCTCCCTTTAGGCTACTAGACATCTGTTCATGCCAGCTGAGAGGAAGATTCCCAAGATCCGCATTGAGACCAGACAGGCAGAGACACTCCAGGGACAGAGGATAGTGGTCAGCATAGATGGCTGGCCAAGAAACTCTAGATACCCAAAGGTGTGGATAGGAATTTATTACTACAAGTATATGCTGCAGTACCAAACCTCTTTAATAGGGGGCACTCTGATGGTCGAGGGACCTATGATATTCCATGGCTGTTGATGAGTTGTGTACCACTACTAGTGTTGATGCACTACCTGATATCTTAAACAATGGATTTGTTGTTATTGTTTACCGCTCATGTATGCTGCAGTACCTAATATTGTCACTAGAGGGCTCTCTCAAATAGTGACTGCTCAATCTTATCCATCTACATGTACATACATTGTATTGTATTTACTTCTATTTCAAGTGAAGCTAGTTTCCTTGAGACTGCTAACCAGCAGAAAAATCAACCCCAGACAATCAGACCTTAGTTATAACTGCACAATATTCTCATGCTATTTCAGACAGAAAATGTGTTGGGCCTAGGAAAAAAATGTTGTCTCCTGTTTCCCGACCGACCCTAGAAAAAAACTGCAGACCCTAGGCTTATTTTGGGGTGGACCCCTGCAAGTATAATTTTTCGAGCTGATCAACCTTTTCTAGCTCCATGATCTGACATCTGAGTGATAAAAGTTAAAACATTGTACAATTGGTTTTCTAACATTGACATTGAAAATAAAAGTGTCCTCATGCAAGTTTTACTTTGTTAAACTGTATTGTATAAGTTGGTCCCCTATATAAATGTCACTGAAGTCTTAAAAAAAATTTTTTTTTAAATAATCCATACCTACTGACCCTAATTTTTTCAGGACAGAAACAGGAAACACAACATTATTTTTCCTAGGCCTTGTTGTTAATGCCCTTGTCTCTGTCTGCCTAGGGTCATTTTGTTCGCAAGCTTGGTGAGGTTGGAGACAAGGACACAGAAAACGAGGTCCTTCTGTTGGAACACGACGTGCCGCACCAGCCCTTCTCACAGGCCGTACTCAACTGTCTACCCAGCATGCCCTGGGGCATCACCAAGGAGGTCAGTGTTTTTCTGTTGTTGTTGTTGACAACTCAACCAATTCATCTGTAAGTTTATGACTTAGACTTTAGGCCACAACAAGTAAATTTTATGGATGACATCCTCCGCAGACTCCAAATCTAATGTGAGCGGGCGAAAAAAAACAAGGCGGGCCAAAACGACAAGGTTCCCACATTTTAAAATTTTGACTCAATCATTGTACAAATGGTTTTTATTCAGTGGGAACATCACATATACACAGCGCTCACATATCACTTGTCTCCTCTCTTCATAGTTATCTGCCATCCACCTTCCGGCATGGCAACAGACATCTCTGCCCATTTTAGGCATGTTGATCACTGTCAGAAGGCAACAAAATTTCTTTTTTTCCCCCCAAATCAGGCGAAAATTAATGCGCGCACTGATGTCATCCATAAAAATTACTTGCTGTGGCCTTAGTACATCTTTATTTTATGATATGCAAACAGAAGTTAATGATCATGGACAAATTCTACTCTGCAATTGAACGAGACCTCTCCAAAACGTGTCCAGTTATGTAGTTTAATTTGTCTGTAAGGCCACACTAATTTAATTCTATGGATGACATCTGTGTGTGCATTGATTTTCGCCTGTTCTCAATAAAAAAAATTAAATCCTCCAAGGCTCTGGCCTAGGTTCCATCCTCCATAGTTCATGGTAGCCAGCGACAATAGGGAGCCGGCAGTAACTACGGAGGATGGTACCCAGGCTGCCGAAGCTCCACGGAACTCAAGAACTTGGTACAGTGCTGACCCACAAAAGGCCAGTATGTGTACTACTGCAAATTCACAATACCAAAATTGGATTCCTGTGGTTTAGCAGCATTTTTTGCCTATTTTTTGCCTAAATTCGCCCGCACTAGTTTGGGGTGTCTTCAGAGAATGTCATCCATAAAATTAAGTCAGTGTGCCCTAATCGTTTATCAAGGCACATACAAAAGAGAGTTTTGAAGGAAAAGTGCTGCCTACAACATTGTTTAATCTCTTACATTGACCAAAGACTCAAGCTTGCGTTCTGCCTTTGAAGGTGCGTATTTGTATGTTGAATTTAGAAAACAATCTGTAATGTCTATGATACATGTTCTAGGACCTAGCCTGTAGAGAAGACCTACGTGACATCCCCATCTGTAGTGTGGACCCTCCCGGCTGCACAGATATCGATGATGCGCTACACTATCTGGAAAGGCCCAATGGTAACGTGGAGGTAGGAAATCATTTTGTAATCATCCCAAACAACCCATCAACCCACTAGCTTTACATTGAGTCGCAATGTCCTGATGGGGCTGTGTATTGAAAGGCAACCTAAATAACGTGGTACTTTTCAAAAGTGTAGGATGATAAGGAATACAAGACTTTAAAGTGCTTGAAATACTTTTTTCTGCATACCTGCAGGCAATACGGAAAATTACCTTAACCAGACAAATTTTACCTGCACTACTTGGAATTTAGGAAGTATAGACCATATTAAAACTGTTCAGACCATTGCTATTATTTCTTTTAATAATACTTCATAGGTGGTAACAGTCAATGCAGCAAATTAAAATCCACATACACCTACTTATATTTGTATTTCTTGGACCAGTGCAGGTAGACATCAGAAATGTACCTGCACACCTCCAATTTTACCTGTACTAACATGCATATATGTAGGGGATATTTCTAGCCCAGATTACAGAGTGTTTCCCTTTTGTAGGTTGGAGTTCACATTGCTGATGTCACCCACTTCATCCGCCCTAACACTGCACTTGACCAGGAGGCAGCTAACCGAGGCAATACTGTGTACCTGTGTGATAAGGTACTGCCTGGGTTCTACATGTCTATATCAGAATCAATGAAACAATAGTAGGAACTAGTGCTGTGTACCTAAACCCACATTTAGGTTCAGGTCCAGATTCAAGTCCAGAGGTTTAGGTTCAGTTCCGGACTCGTAAGTCCGGACCTAAACCCATGGCATATACAAAATTGCATGTTGGCAACCTTGCAATGTTGTTAGGGCAAAACTGTGGCCACATAACATGGAGACCGACACTTGATGATGCCCGATGGCAATGTTTTCTTCATTTTGCAGTACAGATTTTGCAATCTATGGAAGGTTTTAGGTGGTTTGGAAAGAAAAGGGGTATGTGACATGTTTTTTTTAATAAGTCCGGAATCGGTTCTTGACTTTTAGTTTTTTTTTAACTTGAACCTAAACATTTGTAATTTGTACACAGCACTAGTACTAGTAGTAGGAACAGACAAATAAGGATCATAGGGGATGTGAAAATGGGGACAAAATGTGGAAAATTGATGAAATGCAGTGATGTATGTTGTGTCAAGGAAAACAAATCTAGCCTGGTTACCAGACCTATTATACATTGTAGCTCCTGAGTCCTACCTCCTCTCTGCAAATATAGAGTATTTAGGACTCGGAAGCTATAGTAGGTCTGGTAACCAGGCTATCATCTCTTAATCTGGAAAAAAAGATAAAATGCATTCACATCTCTCTGATCTCTCAAATCTTTACGTTTCTGACTAATATATGAAACGTATATATATGATATGTATCGTATGCTACCTGTAAATATTTTTCTTGTACCAACTTTGCTCCTATAATAAAATATGTTCCATCATTTTGATATGACTACTGCCATTTAGAAGAATTCGTGAAATATCCATATAGCACAGCTTCAATTTTAGATACACATATGTGCAGTATTACGATCGCTAAATTCATCTAGAAATACGATCATGGTAGATTTGGTTCAGTACATTTTCCTATACCCTTGACTCACTGGCCTCTCTCCTGTTGTTTCTTGTGTTCCTTCCTCCCATGGAAGGTCACAGTACATCAGGTAGGATCTTCCTATCTCTTCTGGCATACGTCTAGCTGCTGCTTTTGTTTTAAGCAACTGCAACAGTATGTCAAATGAACTAGATGTTAGTTAGATGGGTTAGTTACAGGTAGGGAGGCTTCAGTTTTCATTATTATTCCCAGGCCACTCATGTCAAATTGTAAAATCATGGTAAAATTTTGTCAAATTTCTAGAAGTTCTACACAGGCAAAAAAAAGGGTGATTTTTAGGAATTTCAGGGAAACACATTTGTTCCTTGTTTTGACTGACAAAAAGTGAGATTGTATCATTTATAGCATAACATACTGCAAATGCTAGCTTTAATTGCTTGTACATGTAAATCTGTAAATTTCAGCTTTTCATTTTCACTTCAAGGTACAATTTAGTTTGACAATTTCTTAATCTTGAACTATTGGTCAAATATATGTGTAGTACTGTTGTTGGGATTTCATGTGGCAGAATCACTTAATGTTTACCAAAACTTAAAGATATTGTTACTTTCCAGAGAATAGACATGGTACCAGAACTGCTCAGCTCCAACATCTGCTCACTTAGAGGCAAGGAGGAAAGGTACAGTCTTGTTACATTGTCTTAAATAAATAGATAAATAGATAAATGGTTTTATTGTCCAAACAGTACCCGTGCAGTCGCAGCCTTTATACGGCTGAATTGATGCAGAATATCACATAATAATCAATACAAATCTCAACAATTACAACAAACAAATGATACAAAATTATTAATGATACACATATTATATATGTCGCGAGGGTCTGTGCGGCTGCCATTCGGCGCCACAAGGTGACCTCAATACGACTTTCCCCAACCGAAGTTAGGTACCCATTCACACCTGGCTGGAGTGAGGAAAGTCGTGTAAAGTGCCTTTCCCAAGGGCACAACGTCGGGGCGCATGTTCAGACATGTCCCGGGTACGACTCGGAATCGAACCCGAGTCTCCCGGTTCACAGTCGATTGCTCTAACCACTACACCACCCGACGCCCCATCTTGTAATTTCTTGGTGAAAACAAAATTTTTAAAAGTCTAGCTCAATCAAAGACATCCCTTTGAGTTTCCTTTGATCCAGTAGAAGATATTCTTGGAAGGATATCTTAACTACCATAATTAATTATGGGCAGTTTGTTCTGATGTTTGATAATGTTGTTCCTTTTGTTTCCCACCAGATTTGCCTTCTCGTGTATATGGGAAATGACCAAAGATGCAGAGATTGTGTCTACAAGGTTCTGTAAAAGTGTTATCTGCTCCAAGGTAATTGTTTGAATGTACAACAACGGCTGTACTTTTTAAAAAGAGATGTTAGATGTTGCTTAGTGTAATTTTTGGTGTGAAATATTGTTTTTCGATTGTCTCTATCTATATATTTGTATGTGTGTATGTGAATGCAAGTGCATTAAGTGGTGTATCTGACCTAGCAACTTTCATTTATCGAGCGTGGGGGAAAAGAAGAAAATACCTGTATTCATAACACATCAACAGTTGTCACTTTTTGTTACTTCTGCACGTTTGTTTTCTCTTACTATGTTTGATTTACCTTATGTATATGTAGTTGTATTTATTTTGTGACATCTTGGTTCAGTATGTACAGATTTGTTTATTTACATTTACGATCTGTTATGAGTTCATTTTGTTCACTGTTATTGTATATAACTTACCTTTATTTGTGTTTATATTTTGTTTGGATTCTGTTATCTGTACCTTTGATTCTCTTTTGTTTATGTATAATTTATTGAATCGGTGTCGTATAAGCCCACGCGGGCTGGGCGCGGGAAAGCGCACGACACGAAAATAAAGTCTCATTCATTCATTCATTCATGCATGCGTGCGTGCGTGCATGTGTATGCTTGCATGTGTACACACAAAAATTTATGTGTGTGAGTCCCGGTATACACAATGCAGCAGCATTGAAATACATTGTCAGTGAGACTGGTTTGGATCAAAATGCAGAATGGGTAAGGTGGTGAAGTCTGCCATCTCTCACTGCCTTGTTGTTTCCAGGCTGCGTTGACGTACGCTGAAGCCCAGTTGATGATTGACGATAAAAACAGGAACGACCCGGTGACATTTGGACTGCGTGGACTGAATGCACTGGCCAAGATTCTCAAGAAACGCAGAATAGATGCAGGGTAAGAGTGTCTAAGAAAAACAAAAACCCTGAGAATTTCAGCATATTTAAAGTAGTACGCAGTTATAAAGAAAGCCTTATTGTGTTTACCGAAGGAAAACATTGTTTTTGCTCAGTTTCTTCTTCTTTTCCAAACAGTGACCTCAGACCTGGTCAATTACCTGATTTGTTGACGTCTGTCACCATGGTAACTGGTGTTGGGTTACATAATGTTGCAATTTTATAGTTGGAGGGATTTAGACTCCTGTCACCACATATATGAATGTGTTTGAGTAAGAATTAATAGAGCAGACCATATGCGAAGGTAAACATTATGCATTTGCTTTGCAAAAATGTTACTTTTCTAGTTATGTGGTTGTAATCATACCTTTGTCTTTCCTACATTGTATAACTAAGGAAAGAACAAATTCTATGAAATCTTGGAGAAATTCGTCAGTTGTTATATTTATGAATAAATCTTGTCCATTTCCCTTTTCCAGAGCTTTGACCCTAGCCTCTATAGAGGTACGTTTCCATGTGGACAGTGAGACCCACGATCCCATTGATCTAGAGACTAAAGAACTGAGGTAGGTGTTACAGTAGCTAAAAATACTACTGAGTTTTAGCATACAGTACCACCACAGTAAGAATTGAAAAAGGCAAAACGAACACATGGCTTGATTTCAGTTGGGCTTAATTATACCACGCTTATGTTCAAAATTACACACTGATTACTCTCCTTGTAAATTATGTTAAATCTTACAGTTGTGGTATACAAAGAATTATCAACTACTGTAGATACGGAATATTTCCTTCTTTTCATTTTTATATTCAGAATGATCTTATATCTCCACCACAGCTCAGACTGTCAAATCGTAGTATGTACTGTAGTTAAGACTCCTACCCTGTATTTACTGCAGCCAGCTTTTCAATGTTACACAATGTCAGAGAACCAAGACTGGTTCAAACATCCTGAATCATGTCAATAATATGTCTAATTTCACTTTAAATAAATGTTTGTAGATCTAAGATAAAAGGGTAAAGCTGTACACATGCATATACAGGGCTCGAAATTCACTTTTTGGAATAGGTGCACTGGTGCATCCAACCCAAAAAATTGGGTGCACAAAAAGTGTTTTGGGTGCACCATATGAAAAAATTTAGTAGACTGCCACCAAAACCCTAATTATGTTTCATTTCGAACAAAAAGTACTACAACAATGATTTTTGGGTGCACTAAGGTGCTCATGCACCTAGTATTTTGAGCCCTGATATAGTATTTGACTGTCATGTTTCAGAGAGACAAACTCCATGGTAGAAGAGTTCATGTTGCTGGCTAACATCTCTGTAGCGAGGAAGATCCTGAGTGACTTCCCATCCTGTGCCATGCTGCGCAGACATCCCCAACCTCCCCCGTCTAACTACGACATTCTCATCAAGGCAGGCAAGTCCAAGGTAACATTATAAGTTCCATAATACATGTTTTTTTTTAGGTTGGATAATAGTTATTAGATTGTGGTACAGGTCTGCATTAGGATCAAGGTTTGTGTCTTTTGAGTGCTATTCTATAGTGTACTGAGTCTTCACATACAGAAGTACTGCAGCATGGAACTCTCTACCACATGGTTACAAACAGTGTCATCACATGAGAAGTTCAAACAAGGCCTACTAAAGCACATGAGGGACATGAATAAGTAAAGCACATACAATGTTACACATTTTTATATAACTAGATGTAATGTAACTTAATGTAATTGTATGTTGATGTGCTGTAATGTTTTTATGTACTCCAGTCTCTCCTGGAAGAATAGCTGCCACCCTCGGGTGGGCATCTAAAGGAGAGTTTTTCCTCAATAAACCTCAATACTGAGATCCCCCATGTCTTATCCAGGGAGTAGACATTGAGACAGACACCTCCAAGGCTCTGGCGGTGTCGCTGGACCAGGCCACCCTCCCCAGCGAGCCGTACTTCAACACCCTGCTGCGGATCATCTCCACACGCTGCATGATGCAGGCGCTCTACTTCTGCAGCGGAACTCTCCCCGAGACGGACTACTTCCACTACGGGCTGGCCACACCCATCTACACTCACTTTACCTCTCCTATCAGAAGGTACAGAATAGCCACTGAAATTCATTTCATTCATTAATTTCGAAACCTTTTAGCCCTGCTGCCTTCCAAAGCTCAAAGTCAAACACATACATTTAAAATGACATAATTACAAATGTACGTGGCACAGAAAAAGTACAGTAAATACATTTAAAAAGACATTCTTACATCACAAAATCAACAATGAACACACAAAATTAATCAACATTACAAATTTAAAAAGTAGAGTCTAGGTGACACTGTTTGAATAATAGCTTTCTTGAAGCTGGGTAGATCACACAGTGTCTTAACGTGAAGTGTTAAATCATTCCAAAACACATTATCGCAAGATACAGATAGAAAGGAATGTTTACTAAGGAAATTACTAGATGTCAAGGTGGTCTTGTGGTTAGGGTTGTTGACTCAGAACCTGAAGGATCTGGGTTCAAATCCCTGGCAGATGCCATATATTGAATGTGTCCTTGAGGAAGGCACTTTACACCTATTTCTTCACTCAATTCAGGTGTAAATGAGTACCTAGCTACGGTTAGGAACGTCCTCTTGGATAGGATGTAAGGAGAGCCACACCTCAAGCACATTAAAGATCCCACCACACTTATCGAAAAGAGCAGGGGTCCTTCCCGGCGTAAGCGATTCAAACCTTACAGTCTGGTCTCAGTTTTGACATCTTGAAGAGGTGATAGTCACCTGTTATGTCAATCCCTTCAAAAATGCGGTTAAGTTTAATAAATAAACAAATAGATAAAATTAATCACAAGCCCAATTACATGTAAGTCAAGAAGGCTCAATATGGAACGGCAGCATTTTTACAGTATGTTGTCCATCCCAGTTTGAATTCCTGTCCACTCCACACACAGATACTCAGACATCATCGTTCACCGACTGTTAGCTGTAAGCATCAGTGCCGACAAGTCCTACCCTGACCTGCTGGACAAGTACAAGTCTCAGGCCCTGTGTAACAACCTCAACTTCCGACACAAGATGGCTCAGTATGCCGGCAGGGCGTCTGTCCAGCTCCACACACAGGTGAGGTCTTGGAAATTCAAACTAGGAGTTATGGAATGGATGTTTAAGTCAGTTAGACACAACCAAGAATTTCAGGTACCTGAAAGTGCTACCTTAGTTATAACTAGCTCTTGCTTGTGTCTTAAACATGATCAAGGTACTTTTCAGGTACCTGAAAGTGCTACCTTCAGCAAATTTCATCCTCAAAAGTTTCATCAAATTGGTATTTTAGAAGGTAAAATACTGCCTTCCAAGACTGCCATACCAACAGGTTACAAGGGTTAACTGACAAATTTAGAATTCATCCATTCCTTGCAAAGGCTCCCTGCATTAACTTTGTCTTGCGCTCGCGGTGCCCCCCCTGGCAGATCGTTTTTTTACTAAATGGTAGGTAAGTGTCTATTTTCTCGGTAATATATGCGGAAATGACAGGAAAACAGCCACCAACTAGTGTATGGTGGCATTCTGTACAACAATTTAAGGTTATTTTGTTCTGTGACGTATGCAGTTTATGCGATCCGTGAAAGGAACTTTCGAAATGTCCCCCCTGTGACGTAGTTTCTATTCAAAATGTCCCCCCTGTGACGTAAGCAGTTTATGCGATCTGTGAAAGTCGAATGGGTCTATTGACCAACAGCCATTAACGTACTACCTTAACATGTTGGCAAGTTAATGATTAACGAGAACTGACAATACAGTTCCCTTTCACTTGTTGTACTTCTGATTTATGACAGCTGATGCATGTATGATTGCAGCCATGCAATGTTACAGAATGAAAACCTGTTATTGAATTTTAAACAATTTGATTACTCCCTTGGTACCTGTAGGTTTGAGAAAACTTGAACCCTGGTGCATCAGGTGCAGGGTCTGGCATAAATAGGCATGAAACAAATACTGGTTAATGTTTACAAGCAGGTCGGGACCTAAGTGAAGGTTACAAATCAACCAGTCACATTATGCACTAACCCTAACAAAAGCATTGTTGTAATTCCATCAAATTTTGTCTAAATTTAAGGCTTATGAGCCTTTTTGTGAAAAGAAGTTTCACCTAAAATTTTATCTGAAATTACTTTCTGTCCTTGGTAATTCTCGGACTGATCCAATATAGAAACAGCTTGTATTTTCTATCATTTGTATTATGTTTTAGTAAAACTTGCCTTAAACCAGGACTTTCTTGCAGACGTTTCGGTCTTATTTGTGTTATGTGCCTCACAATAAGGGTAAAGAGTGTCTAGGAAGATCTTATGTTTCCATCAGTTGTAACATAGTTTAGGAAATTTCTGTGATATCCTAAATTATTTTGAGAAAACACCCCTATGTTGTACCTATGTTGTAACTGTACTACGGCAGGCCTAAACCACAAACTAAAGCAACTGCTCATGTCCGTGGTTTATATGCAATGAAACACAGCCTTAGCTATCGGCCGCGCAGGCCTTGGGGGACCCAGACCTCGGTCCGTAGTCTGGGGACAAACTATCATGGACCTGACAGTCCAGACATGTTGAATCCTGAAGACGAGCATCTTGAATCCTGAAGAACAATGTATCCATGACAAGTTGTACAAACCGGAACCCACTATGCTCAAACCATGGTTAACTGCCTGCAGTCTGCAGGAGTATTGTTAAAGGCATGAAAACTGCAAAATTCATCACACAAACCCCCGTACATTGTTGAACTCTACTATGAAATGTGTGAAATCTAGATGCCTTGAAGAAAAAGAACTCACTATGTTCGAAGCATGTTAACTGCATGGTATTGTTCAGAGCATGGGAAACTTTGCAACGTACACAAACCCTCCTACATTGTTGAACTCGTGAAAGCTCGCAAACCTCACGTCATTAACTGGAGCAGGGCGGTTTGGGGGAACCATTGAGATCCTACGTCTTCAACCTGGTTAAACCCCCCGTAAAATCTAACCTGCGTCTGAATGAGTCCGCGGCTGCCTGACGTCCAAGTGGCGACCGCAGCCGTGGACTGATACGGCCATGATCTCGATGGTTCCTTTTGCTTCTGATAGTAAACTACTTAAGTTTATCATATTGAAGCTCTACCTTCACATTGTATGTATATGTAAGCTGCAATAATAAGCTGCAAGCTCTCATGAGATAGAATAACGAAGGATGCTGACTTCGAGCAAAGTGTTTCAGTTTTTTGTCACTGAAAAAATGATGGATGTATGCATTAGTAATACTCTGTTATAGATCCCCTTTTTTAACATAGCAGTCATCCTGGGCACAAGCTGAAGATCAGAATGTTGGGAACTGAGTGATATCCACTGTATTACCTTACCTTGCTTAATGTTTTTATAGTACATGTAACTGAAGTACAGCTCTTTCTCCTAGAGTCCTACCATTGGCCATCAAAATGTATTAGCAAAGAAGATAAGGTCTTCTATTCTAAAGCTTGCTAGGCCCCTTTTTGCAGAAATTTCTGTCAAAAACTCCAAGTGTTGCTGAATGAATAGCTTCAAATTTTGTCAATCTTACTTTTTAGCGCTTTTTAAAAGTGGGTCAACAAGGATTTTTGTCAAGTTTGTGTTTGGGCCATCAACAAACTCCAACTTCCAGTTTGTCTCCAAACTCTTAAGAAAGTGTCAGGATTCAGGATCATACACTGCCATTCTGTTCCTAACAGATTGGGTACCCTTGTCCTGTGGAGCCCAACAATTGTTGTTTTGCACATACAGTACCATCTATACAGCACTTGTATAGGTACGATTTGGGGATATTTCTCCACATACGCACCACACCGCAGCGAAACGCAACAAATGCGGAAGTAACTACGCCACCGCAGGGCAAAAAAACTAAGGGGTCTATTACCTAATTAAGACATGAAATTATTGAAAAATATTGTGTAAAAAATGCCAGCAGGACAAGGGTTAAAACCCTCAGGGGTTGTTTCCTTACTTGGAAGGGCAATCTTTGATGAAGGCTAGAAAAACCAGTGGATCTAGTTTTGTCTTTGCACGTTAGAGTTTACTTGACGTGCAAAGACAAAACACGTGACCTTAATTATGAATAAGCCTTCACAAAAATGTTACTATATCATCAGATCTTGCCGAATTATTGAACTTCTCCTGACAATTTTTTTCACCAAAAATTCCATTGAAATTAGCTTGTTTCTTGGGCCAAATTTGGTATTCACTTGGTATTCACTTGGTACGAAAGTGACTAGTTTTAGGTGTTCAGCGTTGAGGACTGTTTATGAAACTTGTCTTCAAAAGTGGAAGTTTTCATGTATTTTTGTGTGCTATACCTCACAACAAAGTAAATAATCAGCTTTTAAGATCTTTAGTCACCACCAGTGGAAACAGAGTTGAAAAAATTCTGTGATATCCTAAATTATTTCAAGAAAACACCCCTATGTTGCGCTGTGCTTGGATGGCCCAGACCACAAACGAAAGCCTCTGCTCACATCCGTGGTTTATATATGATGAAACACAGCCTTAGCTATCGGCCGCGCAGGCCTTGGGGGACCCAGACTTCGGTCTGGGGACAAACGGTCATGGACAGTTGTCCTGACATGTTGTCTACGAAGACGAATACAAGCATGAGCAAGAACAATGCATAAAACTAATACCAAGAATTTCAACCTTCTTGGTTATACAAACCAGAACTGGTTATGTTCAAAGCACGTTAACCTGCATACGATATGCATACGATACTGTCGGCAAACCTGCACATACCCTAAAGCCTAATATCCTGTACAGTGTGTACGTACCGCGGACAAACTGGACGGTTTGGGGGAACCATTGAGATCCTACGTCTTCAACCTGGTTAAACCCCCCGCAAAATCTAACCTGCGTCTGAATGAGTCCGCGGCTGCCTTACGTCCGAGAGGCGACCGCAGCCGTGGACTGATACGGCCATGATCTCGATGGTTCCTTTTGCTTCTAATTGTAAAGTTGGACCTGCATTTCACATTGTTCACATCGTATGTGTAAGCTGCAATCTGAAGCCTTCAGAGTGCTACTGCCACCATTGTCTCATGAGACGGATGTTTACCAGTGACTTTGAGCAAAGTGAGGCAATTTTTGTCACTGGAAAAATGATGGATGCTGCATTAGTCATTCTCTGTTGATTCCATTTTTTAACGTGGCAGTCATAGGGTACAAGTTGAAGTTCAGAATGTTGGTGACTGATTCATGCCCGTAGCCAGGATTTTGAATGGGGGGGTTCTTCCCACTGCTAGAGGGGACCTTGAGCGCCGTAGGCATTTTGAAAAATGAACCTTCTAAAATGGCATTTTGTGCATTTTTGGGAGGATTTCCAAGAAAAAAATCAGATAAAATTTTATTCAATGACAAATGGAGCAGTTTTTCTACGATTCCAGTCCATCTTTTCAAGAAAAATCTTGGACCTTTACATAAAAAGTGGACCAAAAAGTGGACCTTTACATAAAAAGTGGACCAAAAAGTGGACCTTTACATAAAAAGCGGACCAAAAAGTGGACCTTTGAGCCTTGTGGGGGGGTTCTTCCGAACCCCCCGAACCCCCCCTGGCTACGGGCATGTGATTGGTTGATATCCATTGTACAACGTATTACCTTACCTTGCTTTGTTTTTATAGTAACTAAAGTAGACAAACAACTTTTCTCCCAGAAGTTGCCATGAAACAATATTACTTACGTATGAACTAAGAAGATAAAGTCTTCCATTCACTGAAAGGTTCTGACCTTGGTATACAATGTAGCTAGCAGACCTAGTTTTAGTGAGGTGAACTACATAATGCATCATTTGTTGTTTGGAATCATTTTGCAACAAAAAGTGAGAAGCCTGAAGCTTACTAGGCCTTCCTTTTGGATGTAATTTCTGTCAAAAAAGTTTAGGTAGAAGACACAGCACTACTTTGCTGACTTCAAATCATTTTTAGTGCTTTTCAAAAGGTGGGTCAACAAGGGCTTTACCAAATGTTACCTCCACTAAAATTGTCCTAAACCGAGGGCTATGCCTGGATATGCAAAATAGATGCTACATCATTGAAAATCAAACTTGAGACCAGGTAGGAAAATAGACTTTAGTCTCTGATACCGGCAGGTAAAAATGGTAGTCTAGTAAGAGTTTATTAGTCAGAGTATTGAGACTAATACATGGCATCCACCAGTGAAATCAGGCGTATGGTACACAATGCAATTTAACCTCTGACCTGTATCCTAATTTGCATAAGGGGAATCCCTAACTCACTGCCAAGCTAGTTTTGGTCACGTGAACTTCATTATGCACCTGTCGTCAGGTCTTGTTTTGAGTTAGGAGGTATTTTGTAAATTTAAAATTTGCTTGGCCTTTTGTGTCAAAGAATCTTCTGTTGAAAACTCCATGTGATGTTGGTACATTGTTAAAAGGAAACCAGAACTTGTTTGCTGAAGACGTGGCTTTGAGTTTTGCGAGTTTTGCCGGGTATTTGTGTGTCAACATGAACTATTTTCACATCTAGGGGTTATTCTGCATACTGAAATGAAGACAGATTTTAAAAGTGCTTGACATGTACAGTAAGGAAGCCTCAGTTATCTTTTACAGTACATTCTAACAGGGTGTCTTGACTCTTGGTCATGGTAGGGGGTTAAAATCATCTTTATTGCAATTTTGAGACAAACTTACACAAGACGAATATGTTAAAAATGCCTAGGACGACCCCTTCTCTGGGTTTAATTACCCAGGGGGCGCAAGGTAAACTTATAGTTGGAGTGTGTCAGACAGTTTAAACCTCAACAATGCTTAAAAATTCTAACAAGTATAATACAGTTAGACAATGGCATGCTAGCATATTGCACCTAAATACTTATTGCACTATTAACCACTTGCGAACAGTCCTGAGGGAGTTTCCCAGCCCACTGTATTTCTGGCACAGTAGATCACATATGAAGTGCAGATAGCACTTTTTCCTAGCCTGTTTTTCAGGTGACGTGCTTCACGGTCTTTGTGGCTACCAGGACACAGTGATTTTAACTTGGAGGTGTTCTTGTTGCTTACCCACCCCCTGCTACCGATTTCAATTGTAACAAGGGTAACTTTGTAACTCGTATGAGTATGGATTTCGTCTAACAAAGATTCATATTTTGCCCTTTTCCTGTCCTCGGCATTGTGAACATTCTGTTCGAAGGGGACAGTGAGTTCAACCAGAGTCAACCGTTGTACATGTAGTAAGAAAACGATCAGAAGGGACACGCAGAACACCCCTGTGTCGTGTCTTCTTTAGACTGTTCCAAACCACGAATGAAAGTGTTCGCTTTTATCCGGGATATAAAAGTAGGTAGAAGCAGTCTGTACATTGGCCCACGCAGGCCTTGGGGGACCCCAGACTTCGGTCTGGGGACAAACCAGAGCAAGACAAACAAACAAAAGAAACCACATTACCAACAAACCACAACCAACAAACTACAACCAACAACCAACCACAACCAAACTCAAACCGCTGGTTATGGTTTGGGGGAACCATTGAGATCCTACGTCTTCAACCTGGTTAAACCCCCCGTAAAATCTAACCTGCGTCTGAATGAGTCCGCGGCTGCCTGACGTCCGAGAGGCGACCGCAGCCGTGGACTGATACGGCCATGATCTCGGTGGTTCCTTTTGCCTTTTTCCACCTTCATCACACAAAACTTTCGTCGTACATCATACATGGTGTATTATCCTAACTGTCAAACATTGAGAGTCAAATAAAAACCTACCATCCCTTTGTAAATTGGTCAAAGGTTACCCAGGTTGTCTAAATGAATTGAAGTATTTCATTTGAGTTTCAAATGACACAAATTAAACATGGTGATTGCGTCAACTTCCTTCATGACATCAAAAAGTGAGGCCCTCTGATCATTATGACTCCTCTCTTACTTGTGCACTCTCAGTTTCAGCCTCAGCTTTCCAGCAACAATATTTTCCTAGCTGGACCATAGAAAAAACCTTAAAAAAACCTGTTACCCTGTGGCCTTTTCATGATTTCCAGAGATTACGGCCATGAAATCCTGCTATTAGCCAGATCAGGCCTCCTAATACTCATAGATCTGAATCCTGACTAAGTGAACTGGTGTGACCTTTAGACCAAGCAAAATATCAAAAAGTTGAGCCAAATCCTTTTATTTCAGTGGGCCTGTTTGTGTTGGATGAATTTTTTTTTTCATAAGGCCACACCATCTTGATTTTATGGATGACATCCTCTGAAGACCCCCAAACTAGTGTGCGCGAGCGAATAACAAAAATTCCGGCCAAAAATAAAAATGCTACTGGAATACAAAGCTGGTATTGTGAATTTGCGGCAGTACATAGCGACGTATATGACTTCATGAATTTATTTATGAATCGGCACCTTAGGTATGTGCTGAGTTCTTGAGTCGTGGAACTTCGGCACCCTTGGTGCTGTCCTCCAGAGTTACCACCAGTTCCGTATTGTCGCTAAGTACATGTACCATGGAGTACCCAGGCCTAGAGCCAGGTCAGAGCGTAAGAGGACGTGATCTTTTTTGTTTTGAGAACAGGCAAAAATCAATGCGTGCACGGTTGTCATCCATAAAATCAAGTCAGTGTGGCCTAACATGCAACACTGAACTATAGCCACTGTAGGTTCAATAAAGTCAATGACTAAACTGTTCTCCATAGTAGTACACCAAATCGGTGGCTCATAGCTACCTAGTTGTAGTCCTGCAAATCATGCTAATCTCTTGTTTTTCCAACTTCTTATGTTTCAGCTCTTCTTTAAGAACAAGGTGACAGAGGAGGAAGGCTTTGTCTTGTTTGTGAGAAAGAATGCAGTCCAGGTTCTCATCCCCAAGTTTGGTTTCGAGGGAACGATCTTCCTGAAGGCACAGGAGGGGAGAGGGGAGGACAGCCCGTTTGTGTTTGACGAAGAGGTCATTTTTTTATGTTTTCTTGTTAATTGTGATGTTTAGACTGGTCAACAGCCTGTTGTTTAAAATTGTCTGTCTGTAGGGCTCTAAATAGCAACTTGCGATTCTCCTTGCAGTTCCCCAAAATTCATACTCCGCATTATGTTTTTAAAATTTGTGTTTCTGCAATCATGTTTTAGCCTACCGGGAGTAGTAGCAGCTTGCTCTGTGGTCTAGACTACAACTAGTTTCAAAAATGCTGCTGCAGTTCTCCATAAGACCACAGTTTCGGATACTTTTGATGTAAAATGTATTATGAGCCTGTAGCCACTTTATATTCAGGTCACAAGGGAACAGGTAATAAGGGCCAGACAAAATACGACAAAGGTGCAATATTAGAGTTACAAATGTTTATAAGCCAATAATTAGAGCATGTATTAGAGCAGGAACATCTGAGCTTAGATTTTAGTTGAAACTCTTTCGAAATGGCAGGAGAAATTTCTGACCTCTTGCAGTATTGCAGGTAACAGAAAAGGTGTTTTAAACCGATATCACGTAAGATTTTTGTGACAAAACTGTTAATGTAAATAATTGAAGTTTTCTCATCTAGATTGTGATTTTCAATACATGTATCTTTCAACATACATGTATTAGCGTCGCCATTTCGCTTTTCTGGTGACTCAGCGCAGCGCGAGAAAAAGTTGCGCTGGGCCGCTGTATTTTTAGGAGGCTCCTAAAAAGAATGTAAACAGTGGTTTCCGTTCGAGTATCGGCAGCTTCAACACATTTTTGTGGCGCAACGACGTTGATCTTTTACTCCCCAAATGTCATGTGCAAGAAAATGTGTAAAACAACGTTTAAAATAGCGAAAATCTTACATACCTTTTATGCCCTTCCTCTGACGATGTTTAATTTGATTGACAGGAGTCGTCACAGACTGCAGGTGAGGTGAAGCTGCGGATGTTTGACCGTGTGGTGGTGCAGATCACCGTGGAAACATCCCACATCCAGCACCAGAAACTCAGGATCAGGCTCGTCAAGCCAGAGGTGTGTGGGCACAGTAAAGCATAACCTTTGCTTTAGCGTACCGAGTTAAGCTTCTTTTAGACATGTCAGGATTATCGTTTCAGCGTAGGTTCTCCCTATGCTGTGATTTGGACCCATGTTAGGCCTAGGAAAAAAGTTGTGTTTCCTGTTTCAGTCCTGAAAAAATTAGGGCCGGTAGGTAGGGATTATCTTTTTTTTAGACTTAATCGATCTCTAGCGATCCAACTTATATACATTTGTAGTACAGTTTAACGTAAAGTAAAACTTACATGAGGACACTTTTATTTGCAATGTCAATGTTGGAAAACTGAATTGTACAGCATTTCATCACTCAGGTGTCAGATCATGGAGCTAGAAAAAGTTGATTGGCTTGAAAAATTCATGTGCCTCGCAGGGTCCACACCAAAAAAAAGGCTAAGGTCAGCAGTTTTTTCAAGGTTCGGTTGGGAAACAGGAAACACAACATTTTATTCCTAGGTCTTATGATTCAGGCTGTCTTTCAACCGGCATAGGGTGTTTCTGTACCAGTGTTCTAGCCAGTGTCCATCTTTCCAGAATTTTGCTGCCCTTACGGGACAAAATTTTGCCCAATGAGTCATCTTTGACGGGCAGAAATCAGCGAGTAAAGATATGTCATTGAAGTAAGCTTAGTCTACAGCAAAATTTGCCTCTCAAAATGTAGTCAATGGCATTTCAGAGGGTACCTTGGATTGTTGCTTCAGCACTAGACATGATGTTATGTCAAACAAAATGAAGATGACAGAAAAAAAATTCAGGCTGGCTAGAACACTGTTCTGCACAATGCAAAATGTAATGTTGCAACCATGATTTTGACACTATGCCAAAAGATACATGTAGGTTCATAATCTCCAACAATGTCTGCATACCTATACGTACTACATGTATGTGTATTCGTATTTCTAACAATTCCATCATGTTTATGCATTTTTCCCCCCAGGTTCCAGGGTTCAGTGTCCCTCCAGTCAACATCAGTGATAACCTGGAACCTCCTGTCAAAAAGGTTAAAACGTGACCTTTTGCACATGGTGTAACGGCAAATTGACATTTCTAATCTACGTCATAATAAGTCCCTCAGACGTTTGTAGCTGACATGTGGCTCAGTTTCTTTCCCCTTTTTAAAGTCCATCAAAACAGTATTACTGAGTTATTCTCCATGCTAGAGCTGGCCTAAATGTCAGCTGTCAGTGTTCTTGAAGCCGATATCACAGAGCAGAAAAATAGCTCACCAGACAGGTCTGTATTAAAGTTATAAAAGGAGAGTTTTGGCAGAAATATGCCCAGTGCAATGCTATCACTGTACGATTTTGAGGAATCTCCCAAAGTTCACAGATCACTAAGTCCAATGTAATGTTAGATTTTCGGGCCAAAAATATGCTGGACTTTCTGGTGATCTCAACTGCACTTTATAAAGGCAAAAAGGTCAAACTATTATTGTAGTGCCATTATCTCTGATATACAGTTAGTTGCACCCCCTCTCCAGTGATCATTGTTTAGTAGACTTTGCTGACATGTGCCTGGATAAAGTGATAACATGTAAATTGTTAACTTTTTAAATTTGATCGCTAAGAGGGTTAAATTTTTAGCCTAGGTGGTATCATGTATTATGTACATGCATTTTTGTTTTTCAAGTGACAGTCACATGTAATCAGCATACATGTACATTTTTACTTCTTAATGTCTAACAAAAGCTTTTTCTTATGTTTTATGTGTTTATCTGTACAAGGCATTTGAGTCTAGTACAGCATGGTTTTCACAAATAACTCTTATCACTGCAGTTATAGCTTTGTGAATGTGGTTTATGACCAGAAATCATAGAAACACCATATTGTCAGTCATCTTGAGGCTCAGTCACAATAAAATCTCATCAGAGAATCATCTAAACGATGCAACATCATTGTTTCCAATTATCATTCATTGAGCTCTATACATCTATAAGAAGTATTGCTGCCAAATAAATGTCCATTTCGTGCTGTGTACCATTGGGATTATATAGAGAAAGCCAGACATCAGAAAAGCAAAATCATTATTATATATAATACTATTTATCTAATTCCACTCTACATCCAGCATGCAAAATACCTGGTTGCCCAGTTGCCCCGGGCAATCAAATTTTACTTGGGGCAACCTACTTTTGAACCCAGGTAGCCCAGTGTGCTACCTGAATTTTAAGAATGCCCCTCCCCCCAAAATCATGCCCACCTGGCTTGCACCACTGTATCTGGCAGATGCTTTTTAATTTGAGGTATTAATGGCTATTACTAGGATCAGTTAACTAAAGGCTGTTAGATATATTGTCAAAGGCTTATGTATGTATCATTAGTTAATTTGAGGAAAGTAGTAACTTATAGGTGGGGCAACCTAAAATTCTGATGGGCAACCTAATTTTTACCTGGTTCAAAAAAGTATTTTGTACACTGACATCTACTCAAGGGTTATCTTTGAACATGCTGGCCTCTGTTTTGATTCTCTAAATTATACAATATTCTCAAAAACAAACAAACTACAACACAGCAGACAACCCTTTGGTATGACTTGTTTTATTATAATACCAAAGCAGATGACACAGTGGTAATATCATAGGAAAGGTTGTTACATTTGTCATTTCTCAAGTAGAGACAGCCAAACAGCAATGGCATCGGTGGATAGCACCTGTGGGTAACAATTACGCAGTAAAGCTTGTTTTATGGCACCAATTACATGTACTTCTGCCAAGGGCAAGGCATTTACACTGTATTCCCATCTTGTGTTGTTACCAGTTACTGTAACGTTGAAGAGGTTCATCAGTCACGTAGAATTATCAGTAGACTATTCCTCAATCAGTGACTCTTTTGACAGGTAGAAACACGTACCTCCAAATTTTCGATGTCTACTGTACATCTTGCTCACGGAGTGACCTAGTCTCCGCAAGGAGGCGGGGGAGGCCAGAAGATCCACACAAGTCTCGACCTAGCCTCGTGTTCTCGCGAGACTAGGTCACTCCGTGAGCAAGATGTACAGTAGACATCAAAATTTGGAGGTACGTGTTTCTACCTGTCAAAAGAGTCACTGATTGAGGAATATTCTACTAACAGTTACTGTAAGTTTTCATGATCTTTTGGCCAAGGGAAGAAATTTGTAAACAACTGGAATGGATGTTCAGACCCAAAAATGTTAACATATGGCAAAAGTCAACACAGCCTTGGCGGAGGGTTACACACTTCAAGTTCTTCCTAGAACTTCAAGTACTTAAGTACAAGTTGCCTGATGGAATGTTTCAATTTACCAAGTGGAGTCTTCTTTTCTTTTCTTTAGACAAAAGCAGCCTCTAACATCATTTCATAATCACAAGATCAGCCATTGAGAGATTTTCACTGCCAAGTCATAACCAATTTACTACAAGATGTTCTAGACTATGCCCAGTCAAACTGGCTGTTACTTCCTGTGCAATTGACGCTCTCAAGGCGTACTCATTTTTTTCTAGCTAAGCCTTTTAGGCATAAGAAAGTTCTGCCACTACCTCATAAGCTTAACCTTGCATATCCTTGCACAGCTACTTGTCTCATGATTACTGGAATGCTTTTATAATGCTGCATTTACAATCTAATGTTATCGTATAAAACTGAACAAAGCTCATCAGCTCTAGTTTGCCATAGATTCTGTTTCAAACCTTTGAGGAACAGAAAGGTAACACTAATCATACCAGTAATCTTTGCTTAGCAGATTTTTTGTCTTATGGTTGCAGACAGTAGTAGGCTGAGTGTCAGCCTTGTTAGCTTTCGTCCGCTCCCCAAGATCCGCTCTTGTTGGCGGGGAGCGGACGGGAGCTAACAAGGCTGAGACTCAAGCTAAGACAAAAGTTGAGTGGATTTTTTTTTTACTCCATTGAAGTCATGAAGGATTACCTGTTTGGTGAAGAGTCTAACTTATGCTGTAACAAGCAGTAGTCTTTCAAGTCATTCTTGATTAAGGGAATGTTAATTGAGCAAATCTCAGCCAAAAGCTCTATATTATTCTCCTAACAATGATTCTACCTCTGTAATTCTGCTGGAATGGTTACAGGAGTACAAGGGGTAAACAAATCGTTGGCATCACCAAAGTGAGAATGATGATACAGCACAACTTCATGACTTTGCTCCTTTCAACAGACTTGCTCATAAACCATTTTTGCACTCCAGTGAAGTCTGTCATCCTGAGAAAAACATCATCTCGCAGTGGGAAACAATTATTCCTGTTCTTGTTAAACCATAACTGCTGTAGTTACCTTTTTAGGAATGGCAAGTCAAGAACCTGGTAGTATTCTCTAGCATCTATCCTACGTGCCATATTTAACTTTCTGGAATCATTAGCTTTGAAAAACAAAATCCTTAAAATTGATCTAAAGAGCACGTCAGTGAAAACAGAAAAAAAAGTCAGTGGTTAACCCCTGAAGTTAGTCCAAAGCCTTAAAATTTATCACCAAAAAGCAGAATCACCTGTACCAAAATTAGTCGAAAATTTCCAATCCCCTTGCTCGGAGATGCGCTCCAGGATAAGCTAGTAAGATTAACTTGACCTAATGTACCTAATCTAGGAATTGTAGAAAAGTACTGGACTACAAAATGTTAGAAACTTGGAGGATGCAGCCCTGTAGTTTTGATGGGGCCTTAGTTCTGCTTCTCCTCCGCGATTTCTGAAAGGAAAAAGTTGAGATGAATTTAGTGTTGACTAGCTGTAGGACAGAATTCATTGGTTTACAATATACAAAATTTTTAATACTTTCCTCACTAGAACACATATTTTATTTATGAAAACTAGAAAGGTAACATTTACAAAGCAAATGCATAATGCTTACCTTTGCATATGGTCTGCTCTGTTAATTCTTACTCAAATACATTCATATATTTGGTCAGACAGGAGTCTAAATCCCTGCTGCTATAAAATTGCAACATGATGTAACCCAACACTAGATACCATGGTAACAGACTGGTTCTGGTCGTTGACCTTTTTTGGTTTGGAAAAGAAGAGGAAGAAGAAACAGAGCAAAAACAGCATGTTTCCCCTTCAGTAAACATAATTACAATTTGTGGACTAGCCCTCGCTGTAGTGCTTGCACAATTGTGTGGCCCAAAGGCTGTACACCAAATCTGGTGTAAGAAGAATTTAACTCTAACTAAAATAACTCATGACAATAATGACTCTTGCTCTACCAGCTTACTACACAGTCTACTTACGTTCTTTAGTTGGGAGAGTGTTTTTCTCCGTAGTTTCTGCATGTTTCAGTTTGCTTTTGTCAAACCCAGACACCGCCGCTGCTGTCAGGGCAGCCCTATCTTGGTGCATGTCTGGAACAAAAAAAACAACAACAAACAAAATACATTAAACATAATAACAAAGATAACTAAAGAGTCAGCCATCATCTGTCACCTAGCCCGGCTGCTAACTGCGGCACCACAGATACTCCAACCATTGCATGATACAGTCTCTAGCCATTGCATGGTACAGTCTCTACAGACAACAGTTTGAAAACTTGATGGGACTTTTGGATGAAAAATGGCTATTGAAGCACATTGTCGTACCATAGGCTTAAAAATGAAAACACTCACTAGAGTAATTTTGTGGAATAGACAAGATATACCACACCACATTATCTTGGTTATCTCACCTTCAGAATCATCTAACCCTCGGAAGGGAACAAATAACATTAAACCGAATGGTGAGTGAGTGAGAATTGTGTGTTAAGAATGATAATTCTTGTAGTCTTACCCTCAGCATCAGGCTTCATTCCCTTGACGTTGGTCTCTGCATGCTTCAACTTGGATGGATCCAGTCCCTCCAGGATCTTAGAGGATCGCTCTGCAGCTTTCTCCAAGTTAATGGCTACGCAGCAATAACAGTTACAAAATTAATATCATATTCAGAACTCATACATCTCTATTATCCAGAACTTATGAAACAAGAGGCTAATAGTACTGTCTACCCTGGCTCCCAGGAATCAAACCCGTGCTAAATGCAGCCAGCTTACACATGCAAGATGCTAACTGCTAGGCCTGCACCCATTGGACAGGGACTCTGGGAGCACGTCGGCAGAACGTACTGCGCCTGCGCGAAACCCGTAATGTATTGTGCATAGCGATTCCGTATAACTTCTCATATAAGGTTGTATTCGCTTATGTAAGGTTAACATCCTGCCTGTAGTTTCCAAATGTTATGTAGGAAAAGATATCCTCTGCAACAGGCAAAATTTTGATGCAACGTTGACCAAAAACCCAACGCAAACCATGAAAAACCAGGGTTTTGCGTAGGCGCAGTAAGTTCTGTCAACGTGCTTGGACATGGTCAGTTTGTGGTGCTTGAACCCCACTGTTACACTTCTGTTAAAATTCTGTGTAGCGAAGATTGACATTTAGATTTTTTTCTTGGAGGAGGGGGCATTACAACAAAAGATTATAGTAACACATACTGTCCAGTTAGTTGTACTTACTATCTTCTGTAGGCAGAGGGTTCTTCTCTTCAGTCTCCACATGTTTCAGCTTGGAAGAGTCAAATGAGGTCACCTCAGAAACGTCTGGTTTGTCGCTCATCCTCGCTGGTAGATTTGGTCACGTCACGTCAGAAAAAAAACTGAGGAAGAAAAATTAACACGATTAGATACTAATGTCAAAACCATGGAAAATGGTGCCCTTTTGCCCCTTATGTCTCAGGCAATCACTTGTCGTCAGAAAAAAAACTGAAGAAGAAAAATCGACGCAATTACATACAAATGCCAAAACCATGGTGCCCTTTTGATCCCTTATGTGTTAGGCAGTCACTTGACCTTAGTAGAAAACTTAAGAAGAAAAATTGACGCAATTACTTAAGTTTGAATTAGATACAAATGTCAAAACCATGCACATGCATGGTACCCTTTTGCCCCTTATGTCTTAGGTCAAATGTTTAAGTTCTAAAATAGTACAAAAACTAGAAAGACTGCTACGTTAGAGAGATGTAAAACTCGATCACTACACTTTCTCGTGTCAATATGATCTCTGAATGTACTTTTTAACGTATGGTATGTCACCAAGAACCACCTGCTCTGAGACTAGAATTCCTGTATAGCTGGCCCTTTTACATGTACAGATACCAGATCTCCCTAGAGAGTATGATGTACAATCATGCAAATGTATGTAGACAGTTTCCAGTGATAACAGTAGGTGAGCCAGAACACTGTACAGACTACCATGCCTGGTGACCTCCAATCCCACATGGGACAGAATTACAATTACAGCCTCATCTTCCTCCCTGGAATACCTTTTGCAAGTCATGAATGCATATTGTTATTCAATATTATATAGCATCATGATGTACTATGAATCAGCTATATGTACTATACATGTACATGTATATGTATGTACCGGATCACAATTGTTACTAACAATGTGCAACCTGCCAATAATACTACATTGTACTTAGGGCTACACTAGGCAGAAATGAAGAAGAATCGTCTCTAAAGTAAAAAGTAGACTACATTGTAATATATCTAAACTAAATCAGAATATATACTGATCAACTTACATAAAGTCTAAAGTCTGTAACAACTGATCAACACTAGTGATGCATACCTAAACCCAATTTTAGGTTCAGGTCCGGATTCAAGTCCAGAGGTTTAGGTTCAGTTCCAGACTTGTAAGTCCAGACCTAAACCCATGGCATATACAAATAGCATGTTGGCAACCTTGCAATGTTGTCTGGGTGAAACTTTGGCCACATAACATGGAGGCCAGTACTTGTACTTGACGATGCCCGATGGCAATGTTTTCTTTGTTTTGCAGCAAAGATTTTACAATCTACGGAAGGTTTTAGGTGGTTTGGAAAGAAAAGGGGTATGTGACATGGTCTTTTATGGTAATAAGTCCGGACTCGGTTCTTGACTTTTTTTTTTTTTTACTTGAACCTAAACATTCTTACAAGTCCAGATCCAAGTCCAGTGAACCGGTATGCATCACTAATCAACACAACTGATAATATCCTAGGCATAATGCGGGCATTCAGTTTTCAAGTTGCCAGCTGGCGGAATGGAAGACAAAATGCAGTTCAGTTACTGTACATGTTCACAGTGTAAAAGTTCACAGTGGAGAGGTCAGTGCAAAAACCACACACTTCAAATCACTCCAAATATCTCATGATTTGTGTGTACACAGTCTTCAATCTACTTTTCCTGTGACTCAGAAAAAGAATTGTTTCTTGACCTTGAGTTGAAAGAATTGAGACAACGTGTAAGCACGCTACACTACACGTTCTCCATGCAAATTCGTCTGGCTCACGTGCCCTGAAGGTTCACCACGTAGCCAGGCATGCATGGAATGCACTTATGTCAAGAGCAGTGTGTGCTTTCCCCCAATTCTTATGCTGCTCACCTTACCAACGTCTGAATGACTTATAACATACCGTCTATCACTGCAAGGATGGTGTTCCCCCTTGTACAAGCTTTCTCCATCAAAACTAAGGGTGCACGTTTCAATTGCACAAAGAAAGGCTAAACTTTGCCACCAGACAGATTTGCTAACAGAGTAGAGTTCAGACATAGTTCAACAGGATGGCAATACGTGATAATATGCAGCACGAGTCTGAGTACACATACATGTACTGTACCTCCACATGACATCTGCAAAGACTACAGACACTACAAATGGCCTGCAAGGGGGGGGGGGTCCCCGACAACGCTCTACACTGAATTCGGAAACCTCTTGATTACGCTTTACGATAAATTCCAAGTGGCTACAAAGCATTACATAGAATTAAAACGGCGAATATGCTCTATGCAAAATTTTAGAGCGGGCCGTCTACGCTCTACGTAGAATTAAAATGGCCGATTACGCTCTACGGAAAAGGGCTTGCGGGTCCCCACAAATGTACAATGCAAAGCAAGGTAAAGTAGTTGTACAGCCTCAAGACTTTGTGTAAGAAATATCTACTATACACACTGTACTCACCCACAGGAACAGTACCTCTCCTCTGATCAGCTGGCACTAAGTTCTAACACGCTACACACGCAGGGAAACAGGAAGTAGCTTATAGAGTGATGTCATATATAGGCTTACCCAGGCAGGAAATTCTGTACATATAAGGTCATGTAACATCACCTGGTTTGAGCAGGCTTTTACCACGGAGGGTACATTCTTCCCCCGAAATGGGGAACAGAAAAAAATTTTACTTTCCTGACACACATCCTGTTTTAACTCCATCCTTTCACAATTTTATAGAATAACAAAATACTCCATTTTATTCAAACTAACAAGGCACACACCTATAAATATACACACAAACTGTTTTACGTCCATTAATTTTGAGCAGAAAAAATGGGTACAGATAGCAATGTCCCTAATTTAACAATGGTATGATCTAGAGTTTACCCATAGGGGGAGTATGACTCATACCCCCATCTAACTCTATTGCACATTTATAACAGGTGCTGCATGTAAAATAAGAGATTAGTGAAGCATTAACACCTCCCACACCTTGAGGACTTTAGACAATTAGTGCTTGTCTGTCTTGCATATTTTAATGGAGGAAGGGGAGGGCCATTTTAAAACTAAGGTGATGGGTAACATGAAACAAGACTTCACCTGTCCACCCCCATTCGTTATTGTACAATCCCTTGATTGAAACATAAAACATTTAAATTGATAGTGATGGTGTCACGCAGTTAGAAAGGCTGATAAACTTTTGCATACCCTGTTCAGGAACATGTTGCAAACAGGAATGATTAAGGTGGGCCCGCAAGCCCTTTTCCGTAGAGCGTAGTCGGCCGTTTTAATTCTACGTAGAGCGTAGACTGACCGCTCTAATATTTTTGCGTAGAGCGTATTCGGCGTTTTAATTCTACGTAATGCGTTGAAGCCACTTGGAATTTATCGTAAAGGGTAATCGAGAGGTTTCCGAATTCAGCGTAGAATGTTGTCGGGACCCCCCCTTGCAGGCCCTCATTAAGTCCTTTTATGTTTCGTCAAATAAAGTAAATTCAGTGTAGAACTGACAAAGACATAACTTGGCTGTCAAAATGTTTGCTTGAACTTGAGAGCTGAAACTCTATCACTGACAGTACGTTTTAAATTCACTCTGGCAAGAAACAGATGGTTTGCGCCAATGTCTTCATGCGAAGAACGTGAAGAATTCCTACCCCCAGCCTAGGTATGCTGAACATTCCAAAATGTGCCAGAACCGAAAACAAATAACCCTGGGGAACTGCATTCTTTTATGCTTAGCTTGTCAACTTTGACGCTGCATTTATGGAAATGCTTTTTGTCAAGCTGGAACTAAAGTAGTGTTAGACAGTATTGTAGAAAAATCCGAAGTTGACAGTCACAGTGTTCCGTCTTTGCCAAAAAAGGTCAGCGTACTACATGTAGTACGTACTAAGCTGCTGTTTCTAAGGTAACCTTTCTGACTTAATGTCATCAACTCTTCTGATGGGTTCTTGACTTCACAAACCCTTAACAGAATCAGAGTTCTAGGTAGTACTACCTTACTTACGTACATATACAACAGAGAGGCTTGCCTTTTATGCACATGTACCTTGTATACAGCTAGGGGCTTGCCTTTTATGTACGTGCACATGTGCCTTACATGTTCGATTGCCTTTTGTGTATGTCTTGCGCAAAGATCCACCCACACACATTTGCCTACAGTTACACCTACATGTACCTTAACAATGATGTCATTCCTTATGAGCATACAAAGCTATAGCTATGAATGGGTATAATCTCAATGTACCTCATAATAACCAAAGTCTGACCCTAGTTACTGTAACACAAGTTCAGCTCTGAAAAAAACTTCCACCTCAATAAAATATGCCGACTAGTTATCGTTCAGAAACATTACCAGAAATCATAAAACTGATGGAGAGCGGGTTCATATACTCAATTCTGTGTATGATGTAGATTCATAAATATGTGCTTATAGTGAATGCATGTATCTATTTCAAGTGCAGCAGTAAAATCTGCTTGACATTTTAGCGAGTGTTTAACTCTCCAATAGAGAATTGTATTTTCTCTAGTATGAAAAAGGTTATAGTTAAGCACAGTCTTATAATTTTCTATATAGGTTTTCACGAAGTGACAACGTAAGCAGTTATAATGGCTCCTGTAACCTTTTCTTATTACTCCCTTTGGCAGGAGTGCACCATTTGTATCACCAAATTTTAGGGTACGAGGAATAGTTGATTAAATGTTATCACTTTTGGCATTCAAAGTTTGAAAGTAAGGGATTCCTCAAACATTCATTTCAAGAACTTCTCAAAATGTCAGCTGGAATGATTGTGACTTCAAGAGTACATGTATTTGAGTTACCATAGTTATCCACTGTGACAGTGACTGTTTGAACATCTCCAGTCAGATGCTAGCCTGGGTTCCAGACTGTTTCCAGGGCCTACACAGGCCAGCTCCTTTGCTCCAGGGCCAACATGCCCCTAAGGAAACTTATACGAGGGCCTGCATGGGGGGTCCTGATAACGCTCTATGTTAAATTTTGAGAGCTGGCTATGTATTACGCTGAATTCAGAAAATTCACTTTTACGTTAAATTCCGGTAGCTACAACGCATTATGTAGAACCAAATGGTGAATTGTGCTCCACGCAAAATGCCGCAATTACACTCTATGTTGAATTAAAGCAGTCTGTCTATGCTCTATGTAGATTCAAAATGGCCGATTACGCTCTACAGAAAAGGGCATTCGGGCCCCTTATACCACAGTCTCCCCTTAGTTAGGCTACCTGACTCTGGGCCTGGGGGTCTGGCATCCAGGCTAATGGGGTAGTGGCTCTCAGAGAAATCTGGCTGGTCAGAAAACACAACAATTTTCTTCCTCAACATCTGCTTGGAGATAAAGTGCACCAAATCCCCTGCCTCACGAAATTTCATACAGTTCTGAATGGTTCAGAATTTCAGAAAAATATGGGATAACAATTTAACCTTCTCCCTGCTACCTCACCCTGTAACCAATTTTACAAGTTTGGTGCCCAAAGGTTAAACTTAAGCAGGGAGAACCTTGGCTTAGATCTTATCCACTGATAAGAAGCATTATGGAGGCCAGACAAACATGGCTCTCTTCAGGGACACGCACTTCTACATGTCTGGCTCCTACACTTCACAACTCTTAAACTTTCAGCTTACAAAAGTTACATATTTGTGCTGTTTTATGTAACATTTGGCAACTGCGAAGTGGTTGTAGATACAGTTCAACATTACCACTAATTAGTATTCACAACCTGCAGCACATGTTAAAGAATAGGTGACCTACTCAGACACATCAAGGTCATACTCATTTTACATAAATCATTTTCCAAGTCACACCAAATTACCTAATGACGATCTGACGCCCGTGAATACCCAAAAGAACAAAGACAACATAGCTGCTTCAGCTGGCGTTATCATGTATAGCGCCTTGAGGCAAAACACTGACTAGGCTGCTACAATCAGCAAAATCTTGAATTCTCATTTTATCAAAAAAAGTAGGTCAGATAGTCCTGATTTCACCTTAAGCAGTAAAATATCCTCTTCAGCCCCTGATAGTTTAGATAACGTAGAGGCCAAGCGAAGGTTAAGCTTTTCTTGCCAGCTGGTCTAAATTTCGAAATGATAACATCAAGGCTAGTACTAGAGGGACAATGTTTATGCCTGGGAAGCCATGTTGGATTGTGGGGGACAGGCAGTGCCAGGCTTTCTCTTGAAGACTTTTCCTTCAGTGGCCCGAGCAGTATCCTGTCAGAATTTCCTTTACAAAAACAAATCTGAAAGAAAATGTAAGTTTCAGCATTGTGAAAAGTTTGAATGGATATTTGCAAACTCTGCTTGCCCTACTCCCTGAGGTGTAGGCATTAGTTATTTTAATATCCCTTCATCCATATGAAAAATTATTTAATTCCACATAACTTGCAGTGAGGTGGCAAAAAAAAATTTTGCACAAAATATAGCATTCACTCCCTTAAATTTATGTAACTCATAGGCAAATCTCCTGAATTTAGCACAAAGCATTGTCAGGACGACCACCCACCCCCTATGACAAGCCTTAGGACCTTCCTGTCCGACCAGTACTAATACATTACTTTTTCACCAGGTCAGCACAGGCCATTAACTATGGCGGCACTGAACCGTACAGCTCGATACACATGGAGAACAACTGTAAAGAAAATACCACTGTTATGTGACATAAATACAGGTACACCTGTTCACCCTATCCCCACCTATTTGAGGAACATGTAATTCAACACTTAACACACAGTTAAGTAACAGTGTCTCCCTTTCTGTGGGTGATAAAGGAAAGGAGGAAGGGGAACAGAATGGTTCATTCATCCATAGCCTAGTTACAGCCACGCATGGCACTGAAAAGGTTATTAACTGCAGTCTCAATGTGACCACCTACACAACTTTGAAGTTATAATAATATTACCAACTTATTGTTCAACTAGTACTTGGACAATAAAACAGATCTTTCTATTTGAAAACCTGGTTGGTGTATCAACCTGTGTGGCTCAAATAATTTGATTTAGAATTTATGATTTCACTGCAAATTTGCATATATATTACAATGAGGCACAACAAATGATTCCAAGATTTTCAGCACATACATGTACAATACAATATTTCCATGATAATAAACATGTCTTTTCAACAGATTGATTTACTTTAAACATTGATGACAGCAAATTTATCGGAGCAGAAACTTCTGATAGTGGAGTTGTGAGTGCTGCCCTCCCCCAATATCATTAGTGATTGGTCCCAGGCCTTGAAAAAAAAGCTGAAGACTTAAATACAAATGAATATTCTAATTTTCAGCTTAGTCCATATTTTTTCCTTGGAGTTTTTAGATGCTTTTTTTCTCACTTTCTACAAAATCCTTCCCAAACACTTGAAACAGCTGGAGTGTTTCATGATATGGACAGACTCAGATAAGGGGATAGCCGATTGAGTACAGACAAACACCCTGGACAACAAAAACAACTGCAGCGCAAATATGTTGAGTCCTTGGTCTATATACAACCCAAGGAGACTTGAAAACATCGGATTTCCACATTTTGCTTTGCTTTGAAAACAACCTAGACTTGGACAAAAGACTTGGAGTTCTCATGTTGCACCCTGATGATGTCATCATTTACATGCCAGTATTAAGTTACCCAAATTTAGCCTAGTTTTCAGCTTGTCTGTCTGTATGTGTGTGTGTGTATGTCTGTATTTCTTAATACAAAATGCAGTGTTGCAAGAAAAAACACTGCTGCTACATCATATATATTATTTAAAAGGGGGTGAAATTTGCTATACCTGATTTGCCTTGTAGATTAAGCAACAATAAGGTCTACTGATCCACTTCAAGGTTGCAAGACTTAAAAGCAATGCGCACACTTTAATATGAGACGTTTGGTGCACTTTTGAGGCCAAATATTTGAATCAGACGACAGCTACAAAATATTCTCAACTGTAACCATGATGTCATGTGTGTAATCTGCACGCCCACACGTTTCACAGTATAAAAAGCAAACGAGAACAAAAAGGTTGGGGAAAAGTTCCGTCTGGAAATTAGTGCAAACGTTGGCCACCTTGTTTGCACGGTTACGATGTTGGACTTTTCAGGTATGAAGTACAAAATCGATAAGCAGATTTGAAAATGAGTTTTCCCCTTTCTTGCCCCGGCCATGTCTGCATGCAACAACACCCACCCCGTGCCCACCACTAAACTTTACGGACCAGTTCTTCGACTAATTAAAGACGGCAGGAACCACCCTTTAAGTTTTCATATCTCAATCAAATTTTCAAGAAACAACTCAACGAAGCCTTGTTTCTCAACTACGGGCATGGCTGTGCAGTTTTTCGGTGGAAAAGGTGAGTTACAGAAGTGAGAACCCATGGCGTTCTGCACAGACGGTTCATCAACAAGTTCTCTGAGCTCACCCCACTCTGTAAAACGTCTGCGAATATACTGTCCTAAACGAGAAATTCGGTTCCTGTTCGTACCTTCAGGCAGTGTAAAACTACGCTCAATGAGTAGAAAAACGGGTATGCTCCTGTTCTTGACCTTTTAAGCCGTATTTCACACTTACCGAAGGTGGAATGTCAGCTAGCCCTTGGCCTGTTGGTCCGCGGTCTGCAGAGGTTGGAGAGGAAGTGTGCAGCTCGTTCAGACGGGAAGTAAACACGGTAATGTATTCATAGCCCTTCTCGGAACCCCGCCCACCTGATAAGACTTTTTTCACGGAAACATCCGAACAAGATTGGCGCCTTGCACAGCCTAGATTGTCTCTCCGACGGTTAACCCGTCACTTACAGGGAACTATCGAAAGGTTACTTTTAGATACTTTCTTTAGGAAGGTTTGAGTAATGACCAACAAATTTGTTTTCGGTAGTTTCCGATTTATACCGAGAGCGGTCGACGAAGACCGAAGTCTTTCAATGGCACGACTTGATGGACGTGATGTTGGTGTTGGTGTGCCCCATAGCGATATCTTCTGAAACTGCATTTCATAGAAAATAACCATTGCCAAATGTTTATGTTCTTCGGAGCTTTCTGAGAAAAAGTTGCAGCCCTCTGGGCAAAAACCACTTCCCTTTGTGGAAACGGATAAAGAAAATCTCTTATTGTTAAGATGCTGTTGTTATTATACTTTTGTTGGTCACACTTTCACACATGTACCTTTTTTCAGAGAAAAATTATTCTATCTAATAGAATAATTACATTATATTTCCAACAAATTGACTGAAAAACAACACAGGGAACAAAAGGAAATATGGGTAACTCTTACAGTGAGGTCCCTTAGGAAAGGTGGTGGTCAGTTCAAACTACTGTAAAACCCCTATTTCATTTTCCAAGAAAACAGCTTTAAAAGTATTGGTAAAGACACACTGCAGACACTTTATATTCTTCCAAAAAAAGATGATTTTAATGCAGCAAGAAGTCTCATATTGGGACACATTGACAGAGCATTATACGGTATTCCACGTTCATGATTGGGTACATGGTGTTGTTTCATCGTTGCAACAATGCACAGACAACTGATACAGTGGGACTATACCAGGACACTGCACTTTGAGCCATTGCTGACATAGACAACAATCATATAGCCCTATTTGCACAAATTCTCTATGGTTGCATATCATGTTTATCAACTCCAGTTCTTCTTCCATACACGTTTATTACACCTGGCAACTAAAATGAGATCAAAAACTACCGTACCACCACAAAAAGTTGTAGTTTGGACCCTACAGTCTTTCACAGTACAACAGATTAGGGAATTTTGGAACCTTTCTCACAGTCACATCTCTCTTGCAGACCCACACCAGAGGCATCCTTTCAAGTACATCACCAATTATAACTAACGACTGTTATGAACCTAAACCCCTAACACATTGCTAACACGCTATTCTTACAATGTCACAACTTGTTACAACTGTTTTGATCGAGCAATCTGCACTGCTAAGTACAAAAACATTTTAGAAATGTATTTTAGTACAGTACTGACAATACACATAACAAAATGTAGAATGATTGTAACAGATATACCGCTTGATTATATTCTGTGAGAAGAATACATAGACTCAACTGAGTTGTTGAGGAGGAAAATAATGCAATTATAATTTGTAAATCATGTTCAAAGTCAATGTTCTAAGACTATGATGGCTTTGCTATAGATATGATATTATAAGGAGTCCTTAAACACTTATGGTATGATGACTTGAACGTCATTGATACTACTGTATACATGTAACAGCACTCGCAGTACATCCAGAAGATTCAAGAACAAACTTTTACAAATACATGGCTTTTACGGTTGCATACAGCTGAAAACAGCTACAGGTTTGTGTTTGCAGGTGCGATCGGAGTAGCAGGTGGAAGCGTCCTGGTCAAAGATCTTATGTGGGAAGCTGGACAGATGTTGCTACTACAAAGACACTTAGTGGATGGCAACTTGGATCGGCTGAATGGTTGGTTGTCTACAGCTGTAAAAAAAAGGCGGCTGCAGACGTCATCTTACTGCTGTTGAACAGTCTGCTTCTCTTGTTCAATAGCTGGAGGGAGGTGACAAAAAAGGGGAAAATGGTTACACGATGAACATTAAGTAACTATAACAATAATATACTCCTAAAATATCATACTGCATGATTTTTTTTATTTTGTCTTCATTCTCTTCAAGACTATCCCAACATGACTGTTCTTTAGAGAAGCTGGCCCTTTAGCTATTCTAAAATACTATGATAAGGCCACACCAATTTAATTTCCTGGTTAACGGATTTTTCTAGAAAAATAATGGAGCGGGCGGGCGAAAAAAAACAACTAAAAACAGGTCTAGGCATCCTATTATGGCCCAAAATGGTAAGATAGGAGCCATGAAGTCAACACACCAGGCCGGTTCAAAATTTAAGCAATGAATTTTGAACTTTTATTGATACCATTGCATTGAAAGATGGAATAACTGTAACAGCTAGGATGAAAAAGACTGTTTTCAACTGTTCAGGACAAAATATGAGCATTTTGCAGTTGATTCTGAATTTTTATTTTTTATTCGATTTGCAAATCAGAAAAAAATGAAGCGGGCGAATCCGTTAACCAAGAAATTAAATTGGTGTGGCCTAAGATAAAGATATAGTATAGCTGACAGATCCCTGTGGAGTGCAGTTGTACAGCAGCTAACCCCACCAGCCAGGGATGACAGATGATGATGATAATATAGCTTTGCACCTGCTACTAAAGCTAAGAAAAGTTGGATATCCCTATCCTCCAACCACACCCTTAATGTGGATCAATATCTCTCAAGGGACATCTACAGGAATGCATAATTTGCTAACAGAGTGTGACACATCTGTGGCAGAACCCAGGAGAATTTAAAATCAATACTGACAACACTGACTAAGAGTCAGCTATTACAGCTATTCAATATCATATTGAATCTGGTGAACTTGGGAAAAATTTTGTTTTTTGGTTTCAAGTTGCACCTTTGTTTATTTAGATGCTCAAATCTGCCTCCAGCTATTTTTTTAGTTTTTAATATAATAACTGTAAATGTTACTGTTTATCAAAGGACATGTCAAATATCCAAAAAGAGAGTTTAAGGAACAAAGACTTTTACAACATACCTTCTTTAGATGGTAGTGTGTTCTTGACTGACGTTTCAGTCTTCTTGAGCTTGGACCTGTCAAACTTCTGCACTTCGCTCAAGTCAGGCTTGTCACTCATGTTGATGGTTAGAGTAGTGGACTAGTCGGATCTGTAAGGGAACAGAAAAAGACATTAACCATTAAAACAAGGCTAAAGCTAAAGAGACCAAATGCAAGTGAACAAAAAAATGAAAAATCAAAGATCTCATAACAATACTTCTGTTGTTAAAATTTTCACTTATTCTATCTATGCATTGCATTACTGCATATTCAATACAAGGAAAAACAACAATGAATGAAAAATAATGATATGATATGAATCTTTATTGCATGTTCTTGCCCAGATGGGCTAAATGCACAAGAGGACAGTATGCAAAACATGAGTATTGCATACTGGGACGCTAAATTCTAATGCTAATTGCTAGGAATTCATACATTATAACAATACTATATACTACCTATCATCTACTATTAGTTGCCCTTTCTTCTCTCTTTTTGAAACATTTGGAAACATAGTTTGTCTGCTATACATTCGTTCTTGCATGACATCAAGTGTTAAAACATGTCCTGCTTTGACATTTAATGAAAATGGCAACTTTGCCTGCTTTGACTCAGAAATACATACTAGGAATATCAACAGAATCTTCCAGTGTTAACATATTTGGATAGTGGAAACTGAATCAATAACTGACTCAATAGCATGTTTGCAGAAGAGACGGAAGTAGATCAATCTAGATCTAGGCCCTAAAATTAACATCCTGCAGAGAAGGAATTGTGTTTACATTGCATCCCGACAGAAGGAACTTCCTTGTCATGTTAAAATTTCGTTTCCTCCAAAACCCCTACAAAAAAATGACCAAGCAAAATGACCAACAATTTTCAAATTTACCTTTTGGGAAATGAGTGCCATTGCGAAATTGCGATGGGTATCTGGGGCGTGACTTCTGATAGGACAAAATCAATCGGTAGTTTCGTGAGTAGCATACGTGGAACTGCTCTCGCGGGGGGAGTCTGGGGGCAATTACGAATCACAGCTGCAATTTGCATCATTCAACGGTGAGAAAAACTAATGACTTCTGAAGGGTGAAATGAAATTAACGCATCACCCTGGCATACGATAATTTCTTCTGCCATATTAGCATAAAAGCATAGTTTACACTAATGCAGCAAAAGGGGAATAATATTCTTAATTCAATCAAGCTGGGAGCACTGATCTTATCGCAGCAAACTGTCAAAATTAGACTTTTAAATTGAGATCGATCATGGCCATACATTACCGGCTTATGCAAATTTCCACGGCACATTTCCTGCTACTGTCCATCAACGAGAATACAAAAATATTGGACTCTTTCCATGTCGTTTTTATTCCCCGATAAAATTTCAGACTAATAAAACAAACTGGATAGAGGCGTGATATACACAAATGTACGTGTGAAGCAATGTCCAGCGTGCACAAAATTTACAATCACGATGATGGGTGGAGGGGTCTTTGTTGAATTATTCATCTTGAGGGTCAAATGTCGGCTGAAAATGGGTGAAACAGACTGATGCATATTTATTTGCAGTTAGCCCTGCAGATCGCGACCTTCGAATATGCGAAAACTGCCCTGATTTTGCCAGTTCTACATGGAAGGAAGTAACACACAATATCAAGTTACCAGGAAAAAGCAATGCAAAATTGTGCGATGTAAATGATTCATTGAATATCACACCATTTGAGAAATACAGAAGCATGTACTCTACTTAAAAAATCTCTGCCACATGTCCAATTTTCCTGATACTATCAGCAGGTACACAGCCATGGATTCAGTGTTAACCATTCTATTAAGATGTTCTCCTTCAAATTAGACTCATTTGACAGAGTCAAAATACCGGTAAGAAAAGTTGAGAAGTACATGTATTTGGGATCAGAACTGGTATCCTTTCTCACTCACTGCAACTATTTTTGTATGATGCTAAATTTGTCTGGTATACTGCCCTGCTAAAATCAAAATACAATCACTTTTTTCCTGGAAGCAGCAACTGAAAGTATCCTAATTTTGTTCAAGAAATTAAAGGTGCAAAATGAAACCTTTGCATATAAAACTGTTTCACTGATGGCACCATCATACCCAATTAAAGATACATTACGAGTTCTCCTCTCTCCATTAAAAGTTATGCAGAACCATTAAGGTTGGGCACTTCCAGAAAGTAATTGCTTGAAAAGGGATAAATTGCTTCCTCTTTTACCAGCAGTCAATTATTCTTACTAATAATAACCTAGATAGTAAACTTGCTAATGAATACATCAGTTGGACATAAAATTTACAAATGGTGATCTCTTTTATGGCATGTACTTTTACATTAACTACAAATGTACATGCAGATTATTTCTAAAATACTACACCTCCAGGTTCTTTAGCAGTACATATATATTGGAAAAAATGGTAACTAATCTATGAGTCCATTGAAATTATCAGACAGGTTCAACCCTGCTCCTGTTGATACATTAGGAAAATGACAGCCAAATGAAATTATGCATGGCAGACATGGCCTTTAGAATTGAATTTGCCCTCCTAGCCTGCTTCAATTTGAACTTGCACTTCATAAATCTTTCAGTAACAGTGAATCATTAGAAAGACCTTTAGAGAAAAAAAAACAGGCAGCAAATTTGTATTCTGAAGTTGCATTTTTACAACCCTGACATACAAAATCCAAAAAGCACCACCTTTTCTAAGGGTTTGAGACACAATTAATGGGGCCAGTCCCTGTTTTCACTGATAAGCGACTGTGCAAAATCGTTGCCTGGATTTTCCCCATCACCTGTTCCATGTATCATCATCTCAGGTATGATAAATTTCCATAAAAACATGAGCTTGTGGGGATCAAAAATGTCTTTCAAAGGAAGAGAGGCGAGATGTAAAGTTTTACAGGTCCCAAAGTGGCAGTTACTGCAAGAGACAGCCCAATTTATTGATATAGATGGATACATAATGTCCTCTTCTACCATTTAGGCTTCTAAAATGAGTGCTGAATAGCAATCATTTTAGAGGGTGTTCGTAGGAATTGCTTGATCCTTTTATGGATCGAGGATGGGTAAAATTATTTTGGTGCGAGATATGCATTAAAATAAACTTAAATGTCAGTTTTATTGTATACATTATGTTACATGATATAGAAAGAGACATCCCTGCCCACAGTACTCAATGGTAAAAAGGCCAGGGAAAGGGTAAAATTGTACAAAGCATGATGGGGTCCTGGGGGTCATCACTGTCCGTGGTGCTGAATACTTGACCTGCCAAAGGTGTGACCTTCCGTTGGGTGGACACCAGCTGGTAGTGTTATACTGTAGTGGTAACGCTACAGCAGGGGTACCATCATTACCTAATGACATTCAATATCACCAAATGTCTTACTATAAAAGCTTCCTTATGATTATTTTATGGTTGGTGCAGAGATAAGTGGTCCTGAAGAATGCTGTGTTGTCCCTATACCAGAAAAGTTTCACACTAAATACATGTGCCAATACTTTGTCATCTGTGAAGTATCTGGAATACTTCTGAGCACTTTTATGCACCATAATTTCCAAGTTGACAAAGTATGAAGAATAACTCATTTGTGACCGGATACCGCCTAAACAACGAGTCCGTGTGCTGAAATATCGTTCAGGAAGGAAAAATTGTTATGAATATGATTCTATCTCTCCATGTAGGAAAGGCGGCTGTAATTGCTTCATAAATCCTGCCTCCTATCTGCAGTTAGTCTGGCGGACTCATAAAAGCACAGAGAGGGAAGTAACGCCCTGAATGGTTCCCTGAAGACCTGTTCGTTTGCATCACTTCCCTTCTGTATGCCACTACAGGGAGGTCAGCAGATGGGGAGGTCATTCTGGGGCCATTCTAACAAAGAACGAGACATTACAGGAACAAGTAGACACATCATCGTGCCTGTTGATCAGTTAAACATAAAGATAGGCCTGAAAAGTAACAATTACCACTTTACCCATCTGTTGCCATATTTGTCTATTATATCGAGATATGTCTTCTTCAAATTTAAAATGGATTCTTTCCTATATCTTGGTGATGAAAAAAAAGGAAACATTACATTTTGTACTACATGCAAGCAAGATTCTTACAAAGTGTATACTGATTTAAAGGGGTGGTTTCCTTGAAAACCCCATCCATAGCCTCAGACTTGGCCAGAGGCCATGATGGGTATTAGATGATTTAGATAATTGGTTGCCCTTGAAATGGGGGCAGCTGCACAAATTCTTGAGTTGAAACTTACCCTACAGACATACTACCAGTCCCTCTAGAGACTTAAATAGCACAGCAGCAGTTGAACAACCTGGCACTTTACATCATCCTCAAGAATGACTCAGACAGAAGGCATCTTAGAAAGTTTAAACATAGAACTGATGAACATTCTGAAATATTTCCATACTTGATACGGATGAAAAATAAAGTTTAGACCTAACGAGAACAGTATTTTCTATGGTTTGGTGAGTCACTTATCATCTTGAGTCATAATGTGATATTCAAATTTGGAAAATAGTTTATTAATGCATCATGTTACTCATACTGTCCTTTATACTAGAGGCTACAGAGAATAACTAGAGTTCCCCGATCTCATACCTTCGCCAAATGATGTTAATCTTTATGACTGACAAATTATAGATTAGATTATTCCCCCCTGATTTAAGAAATAGGAACCTAATTTTCATGAATTATATCATTTTATAATAATCTCAACCAAAAAAACAGTCTTATATTAACAAACAATGCATTCTAGCATTTCCTAATAAATTATGCAAATGAGGTCCTGATTTGAATAAATTATGTTTAATGATGTTCACCTCAATTTAACTTTCAAATACCACAAGTATGAAATTCCAGGCAGTTATCATTACATAATTATAAAATTTTCTCATTAATTATGCAAATTAAGTCATTATCAACATAATCAATATCTTCCTGTGTTTCTCTCGTTGTCAATTACCAATGTCACAAGCTTTAATTGTCCTATTATTGAATGCAGCTGATTTATAGAATTTCTCCATAAATTATGCAAATTACATCAATATTTGCATAATTGTCACTTAATTATATTAAGCATCACGTAAGCTACCTAC